TTGCAAAGATACTATCGCGTCGTATGAAATAAATGATGTAAGTTTTTGCGACGGCGCGGCCACAAGTATTATAGTTGTAAACGACGGGATGCGCCGCGCATCGCGATACTCCTATTAGCATGGGTTATTGTTTGTAGCGCCATTTGTTATTTACAATGCGTCAGGATGATGATAATAGCGTTCTACATTTATTTCACTTTACAAATAAAAACTGAATAAAATATAACAAATCGATCAATTACGTGCGCAGAACATCAATAACTCTATCATATGTTATTTGTCACATAAGCAATGATTATTTTTTAATTTTAGGCGTTTGAAAAGCTGCTTTTTGGGTTTTTAGCAGTATGTACAATTGAAGTGTGTGCTCCGACGACGCGACGCTGGAATAAATGATACTCGATAAACCTGATGGCTTCTACGTATTATGCATGCAGCGACACACAAAATATATTCGTCAATGGCGCGTTTTTCGTTAAACAATAAAAATAAAGACGAATTTCAATAAGTAAAGAAACTTGATAAAATATTACCTGCACGCTTCACCTTTAAATGGACGAAATACGAGTATATACCTACTTACATACTTACATTTGCTCAGAATTCAAGGAATTTATGGTTATTTTTAATTTACTTATTTATTTAAGTAAATTAAAAATTAAGAGACATCCTATTACACACATACAGTTCGGAATAAAAGGCTTATTATTATTATATATTATTATGTATTATTTATTTAAGTATACCTTCTTGTATTCAAGTTAAACGAGTAAAATATTACACCTCTAGGTAGTGGCAATTTACTTATTTATTTTTATTAAACTAATTTTAAATATGTAAGAACGTGCTTCTTAAAACAATAAAAGTCTAATGTAACGTGACGATATTAATTATTAGGATGTTATTAGTGTGAACACAACGACCGCAATAGTAGGAATATCTGCTAACAGGTGTTCTGCCATTCTTCATTCACAGGTAGTTAAACTTTATTTATTTATTACTTGCTTTGTAACTTATATTAGAGCTATATCTATTCATACACGTTCGAGCTCCGGTATTCTAAAAAACTAAAGTGAAAAGCTACAATTACTAAATTAATATGTATAAAATGTTTATATTAGCCGCGGTAGGTGAAGCGCGACTACATTTGCATTTGGACAACATTGCTGCATATGCCATATATGTACGTATATTATAACACTCGTAAACGTTTCCTATTCGTGTGAATAATGTACGCTGGATAATCCCGTATTAGCATGTGATCGACGGCGTGTATAATATCGACACTAGGAATGCGTGCGATAGTTTCTAATGCATTTCATTACGTTGACTCTCGACGCGTTAAATGATCTCCTGCACGTAGCGACGCGATCGCAAGTGCCTGAGCTTCAGAACGGTCAGTGGCAATGTTTCGTTTATTTTCAATAAATAAGTATATTCGAATAACATATAACTAGTAACACATATTTTGCACGATTCAGCAATTCCAATCTCTAACATCCCTTCAAAATTTAATAAACGCTAAGATAATTTATTTAAAAGTTGAAGAAACTACTGAAAATTCATAATGTAATTTGTTAGGTCAAACGTGTTGTAGTAATTGAAAGCCGAGTTACTGTTTAAGGATGTGAACCAACCGTGCGTACCGCGCCGCCCGTCGCGGTCCCCGGCCGGGCTTTTTGTCGCAATCATTTTAAATCAGCTACATAGGTACATGTTCTTGCTTCGTCAGTTTAAAGTTCCACCCCTTCAAATCGCATTTGGGTCACGAATTGCCTCTCTAGTTCGCGGGTAAAGCGATATTGATAGCGCGGCCGCGTCCCCGGGGAGCGGCGCTCACTTGCTGGCAGCAGTAGTATTTCACGCGGCGCGATTTACTGAGGCCGTCCAGAGCGATGGCTGCCCGGACCTTATTCACTCTAAAAGATCCCATCCCAGCCCCGTTTATTTCCCTATCTTTTAATACGATGCTATCTTTCGACGCGATTACCGACTTTCTTCTCGAACGGCGATTACTTATTCCTTTGATGTCGAAGGCAACAATTCTATTAGGTCTCGGTCCGACCCCTGCTTTTTTAAGTTTACTTTAAATGAAATGTGTGATGAAAAGAATTCCTTTATTTTGTCGAAATGTATAAATCGGCCCAATTTTCAGGATACTTTTGTTGTAAGATAATTCAAAATGTCGTAACGCTGCGGGCGCCGGCCACTGATCTGTCACTGTTCCTAAAATAATAAAAATTAATAGAAACTAGCTTACAACAACGAGTTACACAAAATTTATATTTAACTAAAAACAAATTTTATGTTAAAATATTATAATAAAATTTAAAAAAACATTGATGTTATAAAAAGTATAATTAGTAGTTATGCAAATAAGTTTCCCTGTTAAAGGCTTGAGATTCTTTGGCTTCTAATTAGGTAAATATATATAAGAAATATATATAAAAAAAATTACGATTTATCCTCGAATCATGGAATCTGTAGCGCGTTGGAAAATCGAAATTGATGTATAAATAGCGCCGTTACATAAACTAGTCAGCAATAATCTATACATATAATAAAATTGTATCTAAGTCGAATCTGTACATTAAATATTTTTTGGAAAATCTTATTGAAATAGACATTATTATATTTCGATACAGAGCCCGAATCTACAGTTTTTAGATTTTTTGTCTGTCTGTCTGTCTGTCTGTCTGTCTGTCTGTCTGTTACCGCATCACAGAAAAACCACTGGAGTTATTTTGATGAAATTTGGTATGATGATAGCTGGTTATCCGGGTCAACATATAAGATACTTTTTACCGCGGGAAAATATCTCATTTCTGAAAAAAAAATACAAAAACTGTATTGTAAGAGTATACTAATATGTAAAACCTAAGAATTTGGTTTTTTGTGATGCACGTGGGCGGAGCCGCGGGCAATGCTAGTTAATTATAAATATACGAGTATGTACCTATTAAGTCACGTTAAGTCAAGTCAAGTCAAGTTAATCATATTAGGTAATAATTAAGAGACATTGATTACTTTATTAAATATAGAAAGGAATAAAAGAAAAAGAAATGACTCAATAGGAGGCGAGGCGGCGCCCCAATGTTGAACACTTCGAATGTTTCTTGTACACTAGCTAAAGCAAAAACATAAATTATCTCCATGCTAATAAAATGTATCTTCAATGATATTTAAAAGAAGTCCCAAGTTACAGCTGCCTCGTATATATTTTATTCAATGAATTTTACGAATACTTTAGAATACGGACTGAAATAAATGTTTGGTCAAAAACGGATTTGAATATTCATTCAAATTAATTACTTTTACAGTTAAGTTATGATGTTTTGGTTAAAATAATCAAAGTGTAACATTAAAACATCGTTACTGAAGCAGGTTTGCTCTATCGTAATGCGGATCAACATTAGACACTTTTTGTATTTAAATTAAGTAGATAATTTTATGATTTTTTTTATCCTGTAGCTATGAATGGTAAATGTAGGTACATGTATATTGTATACACATGTCGCTTGAGTTCACATTATTCGCTATAACCATAAAGATGTTAATATCATAGAATAACTCAATTTTTGCTGTTTGACTATGAACAAGTGTTTTGCATATTATTTAGACACTTAATAATCATATCGGTTATTTATTTGAATAAGGTCACAGCAACTAGGTTTTATATATATTTAACCAACGAATACTTTAATGATTAGTTAGACTATACATAACTTAGCTATAAGAATAATAATATAAAGAACAGTGACTGATATTTGTATAGAGATGAGTAAAATTAACATTGGGTCAGTTTTGATTTTTGACATAGGTATACTTACTTAAAAAACACTATTTGGACTTAACAATACATACGTATGTTCGTAAACAAAGCTTTGCTAAAATGTGTATCTTACAAATTATCTACACAATTCGAGAGAACTCGCTCGCAAAAAAGAATCGAGATGACTTGCGCAATCCTCGCCACTTCACACGGCAAGCTATTTTAATGAATTTGCATCACTCAAGCTTCTAAGCGCCATTACGTCATTAATTATAACTCGCTATCAGGATATCATACAAGTACCTACGTAAAATGATTACTGATCTCAAACGTGTTTCGGCAATGAACTTCCTAATTACTAAAAATATGTACTTAAAAGTGATACATCAATTTAAACGGGCTATAAACTACGAATGAATTAAGTGGATTCTATACAGAGAAATGGCGCTGGTCGCGTCGGTCCTCGGTCACACTGGTCACATGGTCACACGGTCACGTGGTCACGGCGGTCACATTTGACCGTTTTACAATAAATCCAAGTCTAATTGCGTTATAATGTTGTTGCAGTGTCGGGCCGCGGTGACGTCAGCGGCTTCTTCAACACACAGATGGTGCTCGACCTTAACGGTATGTACTTACAATTCATAATCCCGCGCCTCATTTGAATATTACGACCGTCATATCCAAATTATCTTATTACTTTTTTGTACGCGCCACCTTCAAGTTCACCTCGCAGTCGTCAGGCGTCGCTTCCTGCTTCGGTTTCATTCATCGGGGTAACTCGCGAGGCGAGGCGCTGCGGACTTACCAATATATCACATTGCACCATTTTAATTGACGATATGATTTATCTATCGCTGTTTTGTAACATAATTGAATGTAGTTTAGATTCCGACTTGTGCTTTTGAATTAAAAAGAAACATTTGAAATCTGATCAAATTACTATGCACCGTTATTGTGGTCAGCACAAAAAATCCTAAGTATTTAAGAATTAAGAAGTGGCTAGCTCTCGGCGACCGCTCGCTCGGCGATGAATGACCAGCGCTGGGGCATGATTCCGCACGATTAATTACGGCAGCGATTGTGTGCAGCGCCGCGCGCAGACAAAACGACGACATAATTAAATTAATACAAAGTTAAAGCTGATCTTTTTGTTATTTTGCGGCTACATGGAGACATTTCTAATTTTCGTCTAGGCCAGTTTTTTATTCACGTTAATTATTATGGGATGAATGGGTCTATCGGGAAAAAGAGGTATACGGCAACAGGGCGCGGCGGGGGGCGATGGCGAGTGATGTGGGCGAGGGGGATGGGGGAAAGGGAGATACGAGTGCTGGCCGCACTTTTTGTCGCGCGCGTGCTTCACGGAACTCAGCGTCATTGTGCGCCGCTCGCACCGCTCTCCAACCGCGACCTTATTCAAATTGCTGCCACCGAAAAACTCTAGCGCAGATGTCCATCAGTCACACGTTCCTCGAAGCTCTTGTTCCTTCGCAAGACGGTTAGGTCAATTAGGATCCATTACATTCAAAATTGGATTTCTTGACTGACGCGTACGATTTAAGAAAATTGTTACTTGTAGTTTCCTAATTAATTTCTTCAAGGCTGTGTGTACTTATAACCATCAAAAGGTAATTGAATGGTTGACATTGCTGTATCTGTTAGTTATGTATTGAGTAATTTAAAATATGTATATTATTTAACATTACGATGTTGCCAAATTAAACTGAACATTTAAGAGTAAAGGACAAAAAGTGCTCCCACGCTGCAGCCGGGCGCGCCCGCGCATCTCACCGCGCGTCTTCCCGACTCTCACAGACCAAATATAGCGAGAGCATGACTTACCACTCAAAAACACCACAACACTGAAGAACCCGCTCGTTAAATACTTTATCGCATCCTAAAATATATTTAAGCATTTCAAATTTAAATTTTACCGTGCGTACTTTCTCACTAATGGGTGTTCCACATGATTTAATATGAATCTCAATTTATATCCGTTGCTCGCTTATTTGATTCTGATATAGATTTGCTGTTTAACTATGAAGTATAGGATTTGAAACTAACTTTATAAAAAAATTGAAAATTATCTAAATAGTCAAAAAAATCTAGAAAATCATCTCAGAAAAATGCTGATCCGATCTCATCAAAATCGGCACTTATTTTGTAAGAATATAAAAGTTTCAACGGAATAAAATAAAATTGCAATAAAATTAGAATGTTCTTTATGAATCCAGATGTCGATGCTGTGATTATTGTTAACTTTTATAAAAAAACAATCGAATTAACTCAAATAATCTTCATGAAATTCGTCACACGTGATCTATGACATTTCCGTAGCATATTAATATTATCTAGCTCGTGATGGCTGCCGACATCACTAATTTCATTTTTTCTTGCATACACGCAAGGAAAGAGTTACTAAAAGATGCACAGAGTGCAATTAGGGAGTTAGTGAGTGAGGGTCGCTGTCTGTTAAAATTTGATTGGTACAAAGATGAATTTTATGTTGCGAAGCTTGTCCCGTTATACATTTACCTAATCGTTTTTGAGTAAATGTGTAGTATGAAAGTTGCTAGAACTTTAAAATGTAAACCAAAGCTAATCAAGTAATGATTAATATTCGCTCTATTTTATTTCAAATTATAAGGGATGGGCAAAGTTTTATTTCAATAGATCTAAAAACATACATTGATCTAACAATCTCGATTGTACGCTGCAAGAGTGGTTCTACGGATATAGCTTGCTGTTCCTCTATAAAAATATTGTCTATATAATATACTAGCATTGCCCGCGGCTCCGCCCGCGTTCAGATGACCAAAAACCAAATTTAGGTTTTACATATTAGTATATTCTTACAAAGCAGTTTTTGTATTTTTTCTCATAAATGAGATATTTTCCCGCGGTAAAAAGTATCTTATGTTGACCCGGATAACCAGCTATAATCATACCAAATTTCATCCAAATCTGTCCAGTAGTTTACTCGTGATGCGGTAACAGACAGACAGACAGACAAAAATTCTAAAAACTATAGATTCGGCCACTGTATCGATAATAATGTCTATTTCAATAAGATTTTCCAAAAAAATATTTTATGTTCAGATTCGACTTAATTACAATTTTATTATACTATATATAGACAATACTGAGACTGATTAATTTTAATTAATAAATATATAGGTATGTACAATGTAATGTTAATCTACACTAATATTATAAAGAAGTAAAGTTTGTGGGTTTGTGACGTCGTAGATGTTAGTTAGTTGTTATTTAGATGAAGTTTGGTAAGAAGATAGTTTGAGACCCTGGGAAGGATATAGGATATTTTTATCCCGGAAATCATTCCTTAAGGGGGTGAAAATGGGGATGAAAGCTTGTATTGAGAAGCAGGGACGAACCCGAGCGAAGCGAGGGTGAGTCACTAGTCATTTAATATTTTTATACTGTTAGGTACCTACTATTGACTATATCGGTATATTTCTCTACATACCTATAGGTACTTGACGCAAGTCGTTTTTAATAATTTTGAGGTGAACAGAAAAAAAAATGCGTAGATGAAACAGACGTTTCTAGTTAGTGTCATATCCATTTTTTTATTTTTAATATATTTTTAATATAAATATAATATATATTTAATTGCATAACTGAAGTTATACATCTCATTGATTTCACGGTCTCTTAAACTTTAAATTTTATTGGCCTATTATGTAATTAATACGAATTAAAAACAAGGCGAGTGGAAAAGCAGGAAAGTAGTTTTAGTTCCGCACGGCCGGCCGATGTCACGGCGACGGCGGAGGCGACGGCGGCGCGCTGACTCAGCACTCTCCGCTCCACACGCAGGCCGGGCCGAGCTTTGCATGTCAATGATCTCGACAGTCGATAGTCGACACCCAGTCATTGGAAATTGACGCTACCTACTCGTCTGAAGAATTTCCTTCGAAACATATAATGTTATCGCTTATTAGACGACACAGCCGACTTTAAGACTTAAAAACGACCTTCATTGTACGTAATCTACATAATATTATGTACTATGTACATACGTATATATATATATATATATATTTATTAAATATTTATATATATATATATATATATATATATATATATGTGTATATATCCTTTTATCTCTTGTAGCCGCGACAGTCACCCAGGTTTCACAGTATCACCTAACTACATATACCTGTTTGAAAATACATTATTTTACACTTTCGGTCATTATAATTTTGCTAACACTAGGTATATGTACGAAAGTGTGTTATGGCTCTGTTGGATTGTTCTTTCTTCACGCAACACATCACAGTTAGACGTCATTAGTTTTTGCCTAGTGATAGTTTATGAGCCGGAAAGTATCAAACTTCGTGGCTACTATTTATGTATCTCAGAGTATCAAGCGATTTTCTCCGGATTTTATACACTTCATACTCGTACATGCACCTACATACAATATGTTACTTAAAGGATGAATATTAGTTTCAAAAAACTTTAGTATTCATACAAATTATTTATATTTATAGATACAGTAGTTATATGTATATTCTTTTGTATACATTTTGCAATAATAAACTACACAGTATTTCTTTTTATTTTTTTAAATGTATTGAATATGCTTGTGTATGAAATCAACGAAGAAACTGTGCAACTTATTAGTGATTGCATAATATTATTTAAAACACAAATTCTTTTATAACGGGCAGTGCAAACGTTTTTTTCAATGAATTCTGCAAACTTCTAACGGTAGGCCATACGTGTATGCAAAGTACCAAGAAAAGAAAGGCGCTAGTACGGGAGTGATAGAAAGCGGTCGCATTTGCATGCGTCGCTGCTACCTGCGCACGCGCATCTGTCTGTTTTTTCTAGCTCACCTTCGATCGGCGCCGAACAATCGGCACGGCTTGCATATTTCTTCAATATCCATTAGTTTTTGTTGCCTCGTATACGTGAATAAGTATTTTTTTGAAGATTTATTGCGAGACGTGTATTAGGTGCGGTCTCCGGGCGCGTCGGCCTAATGGCGATGTTAATGTTCGCGCATTGTGACGATGGTGACGCGCAACGGCTCGAGAAGTCTTTGTGATAGTTGCAGGACGCGGCGGACTCAGTGAGCCTCGTATATTATTACCGCCGTAATTAATTCCATTACATAATTTCTCTCATTAACCTTTAAAAGGCCGAGAGGCGGGAGCCCATCGCAAGTCCTCCAAGCGCGTCGCTCGACTGGTTAGCACGACTTTGCATTATTTACACCAGTTATATTTTAAGATATGAACATCTAACAGGTAAATACCTATATACCTATTTTACGTATCGAAATATATTAGATTTGCTTTGCATCGGCTGGCACCAACTTCGAAAATATCTGATTAGGTATCTATTCTAAATGAAAACCTCCGTTTAGTTATTTTTTACATTTTAGTGCCTGGAAGTCGGTTTTTATTTTTTGTTAAAAAGTTTTTATATTGTGTACAATTACAATATTAATAAACATAAAATAAATTTGAGATGTGGAATTATATCTGTACTTAAAAAAAATGTATGTGATTCACAAACGACGCGTGGAGCAAGCAGGCGGAGTGCATCGCCGCGCCGTCCGGGGTTTTGTCTGTTTCTTAGAATTTCGAGTAAATGCGTCGCGGGAGCTGCACCATTACGTATTGAAATGTATAATCGCACGTAGATCGTAGATTGCGCATGCGTCGCGATAGTCGCCGATATCTAGCACGGAATAGGGGATGTTATCGCATCGTGTGATCTTAACAAAGCATTTGCATACGTACAGGCATAATTTTTTGCAGACGTTTTTGTTACCATTTTGGAATCCGAAAATCAATCATGAGAACCTTTGCAAGTGCTTGCCGCTACGCTGGCCCTCGGTATTGTTTGGTTCGTAATTTATTCACAGGTATAAATATTCCTTTAAGCTTTTAAGTGCCTCAGCAAAACTATCAGCGGTTTTGAGATAGTTTTTAATGTCGATTTCAGTGACGAATTTATAAAACAAAGAAAGTAACATCATAGATAAGCAATTTTACAGGTATTTGCATACGGAATAAAATAATATGCAGAAAATACCAATTACGCAACAAAAGTGTACTGTGAATGGTGTATCAGCGCGCGATCGCACGCTGGCACAATGAAGGTGATGAGAACTATATCTACTGTTTAACACAAAAACATAAACACACCGAGAGAGACTGACTCTCTGGCTCACAACATAGCAGCGAGTATAATTGCACTTCCTGAGAAAACTTAATTGACAGTACTTGTAGAGTTTTACATTATTTGCATAATGAATAGTTCAGTGCGTACGCAAATCTAATGAGTAGAATCATTGTAGGAGAAAATAGTAGCGCACGCGCTTCCGCGTCGAGCGCGGCCGGGTTGAGCCGCTCGGCGGGCTGTGGGGAATCGCTCACTTCCAAACATTAATTAGCAATTCAATAGAGCTGGCCAAATGAGTGAAAATGTGATCAAATATAATATAAAAAATGGATATTTCGTATACGCCTCTCTACTAAATATATTTAAGAGTAGATTATATCATAAGCCAATTAACTGTAATTATTCTCAATCACCTGGTAGTGGGATGGTATAAATCCTGTCGCAGTCGCGAGCGAGGCGGCCGCGAGCGCGAGCGATACATTCGCTTCTTGTCGCTAATAATTGTGGCTCGCATTCTGCCGCCTGACAAAAAGCAGCTCTTAATGAGTCCACTTTTCTGCGCGGGCGCATGTGCATCGCGGGCACAAATGTTATTATTAAATATCTTTATCACTCCCAAGAAGGCTTCATCTTAATAAGATGAGTGCTATGAAGTAGACGGTCAAGTCGATAGAGTTTCAGGGAAATAGATAATAAATTATATTAATCTATTGGTTAATAATACTTAAACAAAAGGTTCATAGCTTTTATATTTCCAATTTTAAAATAATTGTTGTTGTTATTATCCAATCATCATACCTTAAAAAACTATATAAAGCAGGCGTGGGTATTAATCATTTACATATTAGTTAGTGAATATACGTAACAATTTCTTAATATAACTTTGCAATTTTATTTTTTGGTAGGTACAACGTAACTTGTTAATAGTTCTATCATATACATATATCAAATCTAACTTTTTCTTAAACAGGAGTTCGGATTTAAAATACCTCCCTATTTTGAATCCGACTTTTTATAATAGGTATGTGTTCAGAAATATCTTACGGGTCACAGTCGTATCGTACCGTGCAAGAGGAGTTTCGAGTACATTTAAGGCGTGATTATGATCGGATGATTAGTGTGGAAGATTTTTATCTTCCACACTAATATAAAAGTAATAGGGAATTCCTTAATGGCCATAATTCTTTTTGACTTCAGATTCAAAGTACTGGTAGATGTTACTTTGCAAAATAATAGGTCTTTCTTTACCTTCTACCTTCCGAGGAGAAATAACAATTAAAATTTAAACATTAAAATTTCTTAATTCTCTTCTTGTGACTGACTGTTAGTCGTCATTTCAATAAAATATTAATACAACATAGTAGGAAAAAGTTATTTTCAGCCATCCGATACTTAGATATAGAGAAAACGTCACACATATGAATTCCCTCGAAAAATTTATTTACTATCTACTGATTCTATAATTAAAACCGTGACCTTTTTATCCATATACGATAATTACGTCGGACACGTGAGGTCCCGTTGCTCGGCCCCTGTTGACATTTCAGTTTTTGTGAGAAGGGTGAATACTGAATAATACTGTAATAGTTAAGGGAGGCTTTCAGTAACGCGTTGAACGGTGTGCTAGTGTCGATGCGCGCGCGCACCTCTGCATGGATTTTCGTGAGTAATATATTACTTTACATATTTAATTTATAACATGTATCTTTTTTATAGATAAAGACACATAAAAATCTTTATTCGCTTTAATTAATATGATAATATAATTGGTTTATCTTTATATGATACTCGTAACGGATGTATGAGGAATTTCAAATAAAATAAATTTAAAAAAAGTTAACTTTATAAGTTCTTATAATATTTTTAATTGTATTCAAATTTTTTATTCATTATTATTTAAATTTTTCATGAAATAGATTAAAGATTTCTTTTAAAGTTTTAATTGTACTTATTAATGTTAATGAGGAAGATTTGTGCAACTCTAGGTACTCGCTTTAATTACCACGAGCTAATATATAACTAGCTCAACGCAATTAGTCAGATTGCTGAACAAATTATCAATAATATTTACAATAAATTAACCTTCAAATCATACAAAGTTACTTCCTCATCATGTATGATTCTATAACGTAGACGCGATGGTTTCGTGCGCCCACATTAATAAGTGAGTGGAGCGCGGCATCACCCAGTCGCCATAATTATTCCAGCTTTGGTTCACGTCCGCGGCTCGCGTGCGCTCCGAGCGATCCAACCCGCACCCCCAACCGGTGAAATTTTATTATCGTCTTCGCAGTAACTCAATTAGCTTTTTATATGGTTATTGCTTTTTTTTAACGCACTAAATAACCGAACTTCGCTAGAATATTTCACGGACATAATGCTTACTCGACGGGAATATTAGATTATATTTTTTGAATTTTTAAACAAAGGAAGTTTTAAACGTAATTACCAAGGTTTGTAACGAAGAAAGCGGTCTCAACAAAAAAAATACTGGAATTGAGACGTGAAACGAATGACGCGTGACTTTCTAATTTATTGCTCGACCGCTCCAAACACTTTTTAAAAACAACAAAAGGAAAACAATCAAAAAGATAAAATTGCACAACCCCGGCCGGCCGCCGGCCGCCTGCGCGGCGACCAGGCGCAGGCGCACAATGCGCGAGCAACGGCTGCTCTCGCATCCGCCATAAAAGAAAGCACATTTGAATATCTGTTTCGGACTCAAACGGTTTATTACATAACAGTCGCAATTGTTCTTAAAACAGTTGCTTAAAACAGTTTTACGGGATCGTAAACCGTTTTTTATTGGAGAAATGGTTCGAGTTTTTGAAGGACATGCCGTATGTAAGAAGCTTTATAGTTTAACACGCAATGCGTTTTAGCGTTGTACGGTGCGATAAAGTGTGGAGACGAGAGGGGTCGTAAATTTTGCGATGCAATTTATTTCGCCGGAGAGGTCCGAGAGCAGGGACGAAGTAGTTTATCAGGGTAACATATGCAAGCTCGGGGTGACCTTTGCGAGTCCCGTTGGACACCTGCGACGTACGTTGGGGTCCCGCTACACGCTCGCATTCATTAAATTGTCGCTACATGCAATGCTGCCTTTAACGGAACGCTCGCCTAACTGCCTCTTATCTAATTGCGGTTATGTTGTGCGACTAAACTATATTATTATTGAACAGTCTGTCGTCTGAATGCTAAGCATTATTGATGCACTGAGTATATTAAGATATGGCAGTGCGAGAGCTACACGCGGCCGCTCCTCGTGCGCGCTCCACTGCGGTCGATTTGCACCAATATTGAACCGACTGTAGAATTCCACAAATTGGTTATCGCATTCGATGATCGACAAGGCATCATATTACGTAATGTTAAGTATTTTGCTTATTGAATATGGATTAGTCGATCAAGTCGGGCAATTTGAAGCGACGTTTCACAATATCGGTAGGCAATAACGCAGTTGATATGGAATAATTCGGAAACATTACAATGTGATGCAAGCGTGCATCTCATAACGCAATATTACAGGGTACGGACGGGCGCCGCGCCCGCGTGTCATTAGCGGAGATTGTGTGCGAGGCCGCCGCGGTGGACGCGCCGCCGGTAATACCCCATTAGAATACGTGCCCCACATTCAAATGACCAATCCGTCCAAACCACTGCTCCCACGCCACGCACTCCTACGTGCCACCACTACCACCGCTACTAGCTAGCTCTACTTATCCACTACTTGCCTGCTAATAATCGTCATCAGCCCTATTCCCTCACTCACAACGTTGTCTCATTAAACAAAGGTGAATTTACATGAATAAATTCATAAAATATGAAAGTAAATATCACTTCGTTACAAAAGCAGGTCAGTCTAGCCAACAATCTTATTAGGCCTCCTTCAACATTGGACTGTTTGGCTTTTAGTAAATTAATTCATCGCAATTACCATAAAGTAACGGGATGCATAGACGAGGTAACTAGGGTGAGTGACATTTGTTGATATTTGTCGGCGCGTGCGCAACACCTGCCGCACACACGCAGGTGGCGGGGTCAAGGTCGCCCAAACGCCGGGATTCAACCGGTACCGCGGCGTAGTCCGCCGGCCGACGGCTGACCCTATAACTTGAGATACACTTGAAATGCTGCAATGATCGTTACCAGAGTAATGTGCAGTGATATAATGATAAAACCTATTAATATACTCGTATTAAAGAATATATTATTCAATTCAAAATATTTTCGTCATATCATTCAACACTGCGTCACTGCACGAAATGTGATAATACATTTTTATTGTAAGCTTCAAAGATGATTTTTAATGATTATTATAATTAATACATAATTTCAGTGGGAGAACAAATTAAGGTCACTTCTCTATGTTCATTTTTTTTCGTTACTTTAGGGAAAAAGAGCGTGAAGATGTAGGTAATGTAATGATTAAGGAACATTAGATAGTAAAGTATGAGTGCCAAAGCTCGAGCGTTACTCTGTGCCGGCGAGCGGGAGCGAGTGGGAGAGGTGCGTGCCGCGAACAATTTGCAACTTCCCCGCTCGCTAATGACCCTTGTTGCACTCGCCACTTGCACTGCTCCCTTGATATTTGTAAATTAAGTGAAAACTGCTGTTTTATGCATGTAAATTAAAAGCTGCTCTCTGTGGCTTTGCTTCTCGAGCATCAAAAGTATAAGAAAATAGTCGTTCTACTTAAATATGCCACTAACCATGCGATGGCCGCACAAGAAATTAATATTCAGAAACGACAAAGTTTCGATCAACTTGAACAAATACTATAAGCCAATTTCTGCACGTACTTAAGATTAGGAGTACATATTTACGAATATGTAAATTGATTTAATTTATAAGTGTATTGTTCCATAAGTCACATTATTTGTTTCCGCTCCTCGCCCGAGCGCGGTCATTTCGAACAACAGATAAATTACTAAGTAGCCGAATGTAACATTAATTAGAGGAGATTACATTCATTATGTCAGTTCTAGTTGTTGTCAAATTTTTCGGTTCTCGTCACAAGCTCGCTCTCGCTAATTATACGTATATGGATATATCAAATTAATATTTTTAATTTGTTAAGCAATTAATTTTGTTAATTTAATGTTATAGCTATACATAATAGAACTCTGCATTAACTGATTGACAGACAACGCGGCGCCGGCTGCTAATTCTAGAAACTTGATTTTTTTTAGAAAAAGTCCTGTACGACGACGGTGAGCATTAAGATACAATTTTTGAAATTACAACCCCTAAAGAATTTAAAGAGGGGATAAAAGTTTTGTAACAGTTCGTTATTATTGTTCTTAATATACTTATATAATTTATATTTCAATTACGTTTATAATGTGGATGGGAAACCCCGGCTCGTACATGCTCGTCTATTAATTTCAAACGTTTTATTTTATTATTAAATTAGCTTAATGTAGTTTAAATTTATGTTATAAGATTTGGGCGCGATATACATATATTTTGAATAAACAGTTATAGTTGAATACAAAATTTTCAAGACTTTAGAATGATGATTGTCCGTTATATTAAATATACCTACAATGTTATGTACATTGTATGATGGATGTAAGTTGTGAATATATTCCATACAAGGATACGTAGAAATGAATATATTATGTCTGTTATTTCATTTCATCAACTCATTTATAAATAACGAAGGACTAAATGTCCATTTTCAGAGAGTTTTAAAATCAACTCCACCTGTAGTGATGCACCAACTAGCCACTGCGCCAGACGACCGTTTTCAAATATAATATATTTTTAACTACCTTTTATCCGAACAAATGTAGATTATAACTATCTATTTCCACAGTATAGGTACCTAGTATTCCTCGGCATCTGTAGACTGTACAGTGTAGAACGCACGCACGCGCAGCGCATATGCTAATGAGTGCCACAAAGCCGTTCCAGTTATTTCCTTATCTAGTGGTGTAAGTTGCGCAAATATGTTGAGTGTCAAATTAAACGTGCGCCCGCGGTACCTCCGGCTTCATGCGCTATCGCTACATCTCTACTTCGCCTTCCACCACACACAACTCTACCTTCATTTGAGACAATATATGCACTAATTTAATTCTAAGCGTTAACTAAACGGTAATGTTATTATTCTAAACGCACGCAGTTAAAGATTGCTGTTTCGCTTGTTACAAAATGTTTTCTTTGTGTTAAGATTTCACAAACTCTTGATTTCGGCGGAGCCCTCCTACCTCCGAGAGCTGCGTAGCGAGACGCTTCTCTTGTTTCATTATTATTTTATAATAGCGACCGCTTTATAAAATTTATGACGCAAATTTGAATAGCTAATTGTTGCCGGGTTTCGTATGATTCACTGCCGTCATTTACATACATTTAATTATAAATATTGTTACATATCTAATCTTATACTTGTTCTAGCATGATGCCTCAATTAACTTTAGAGCGTACGACGCGAAACAGATGTATCCAGATAATATTTTTTATTATATTAGTTGATTCGTATCAGGCCTGTCTACCGCTGTTTAGAATATTGTGAAAAAATTAAACGACTCTACCAACATTAATAACTTTATACGGAGCATGAATAACAAGTTATCTGGTGTAAAGTATTGACAGGGATTTGCAATGAAAATAAATATATTGTGCAAAGTGTTCTATTGCTATCCACAGTAAGTAAGTAGCCTTTTCATTCACCCTTGTCTGAAGAGGGACGCTCAAGTGTTTTAAGGTCTTCCAAATTGGTTTTCAATTCGCGCCCCTCATCGACATCATTCCCACCTCTTTACTCAAAAATTGCATTATTCGTTGTTCATAATAAAATAAAAAAAATGGTATCAAAAAGTCCGAATCAGATATATAAAAATACGCAGGCCCTAATAACTTGATTGTCAATATAATTTACTCAATTTCATCCAGATTTGTACACAATATGCGTTTATTATATATACATATATTGTATATGGTATATTAAAAGAACGGTTTACAAAAATCGGTTGCCAAATGGTAATCATATGTTTTTTGAAGTTTCTTTCCTCAATTTCATTATTTTAAAGTCTCAATAATAAAGTTAAATTACAAAGATCTACATTATGGCTAAGCCATTGTTTTTTATCTTAATGAATTGTGGTCTGTCGGTCCCTTCTCTGCACCCCTTTTATAAATGGTAACAAACAATCGGCATCAATTACATCAACAGCTGCGTTCAAGATTCTGTTCAATGCTACTACTTTAAATTTCAATTTGGTAAGAAATTAACTGTATTCGGAAAAATCTGTGAAATATAATTATCGAAATGTTAAATTGAATGGCTGTCACTTTAACCTCAAGACGCACCGTCTCATTCGACCAGACCACTACTCTGTTACACCTTCCACTTTCTGTCCGTGTGAAGCTCTGCTGTAATCTCGAGTGCACCTAATTATAATTAGTGGACGCTTGATGTATCAGAGTGTAGAGCAACTGATAATTACAATGAGTAATTGCCTAAATATTATAATGAGCTTGCCGTTTTCAATTAACTCCAGCGCAGTAATGAGAGCGGACGCTGCGTCTTGTTCCATCCGCTGACCCTCGTGTTTGAATATGCTTATTATTTTAGTTGTTATGCTAATCTTCTTTTATATTTATGATCAAGTAAAAAAAAATGTTTAAAGGTACAAGTGGTACTAAAAGTATTTTTTCATGTAAGAAATGAGCATTCCCAGTAGAATAAAAGTAAGATATATGTACCTATGTATATCTATTAAGATACTAATGTGTAATTCATGGAATTAAATAAAAAATCTAATTAGATTACTGGTGTAATTGTGATTATATTTAAATAATCACCGTCCTGATTTTAAAATCATAGTTTTACATTAAACAAAAAATATGTTTCATCATCTCGTTGAACAAGCTTTGTATAATTTATTATTGCTACCAGACAATTGTATCATTTTTAAGGATCAACTTATCGAAGTAAATGAATACAACCTGTAATGACTGTACACTATAAAGTGGCAGTGAAAGCTCGGTGACAAAGTAGTTACCTCGTTACGCGTCGCAGCAGAGCTTGACGTGTGAAGGGCGAATGTCCTTACTAATATTATAAATGTGAAAGTTTGTGAGAATGGATGTATGTATCGATGAATGGATGAATGAATGTTTCTTACTCTTTCATGCCAGAACGGCTGAACGGATCTGGATGGAATTTGGCACAGAGATAGATTATAGTCTGAAATAGTAGATAGGTTACTTGTTATCCTTGAAAAATGTACAGTTCCCATGGAATAGATTTGTTCTTGTCTAGGAACGAACCCTAAGCGAAGCGAGGGTGAGTCGCTAGTACTGTATATAGCATTCAGTTAACTGAGCACTCAATGCAATTATGGAAACATCATCATGGTTTTAACTTCAGTTAGAACCACCTTTGCTGAATAAATTTAGCTGTATGAAAAGTTACTTGCATTTGTTAAAAGACACGCGTCGAATGGGATGGTCGCTGTTCAGATACTCCAACATCAATAGATAGTTAAATTATAAGAAAAAACGTATTTAAAAATTCTCTTTCCTGTTGAGGGGCACAGGCACACCGGTGTGTCAGTTAACAATTAATTTCCTAGGAATTATCCTTGATGTGATCGTAGAAAAGATTTTTTTATTTGCTTTCCGTTTCATAGCATATCTACTTTTCACGGCAACATCATTATTTGTTACATTATTTTTACATTGAATACTTATAGCAATGCTTAGAAAGAGCTTTCTTTCTTGATAAATACACGCAGAGCTGTATCTAGTGGACTTTAATCGGCCGTGTAATGTAATGCAAGAAAACCGCCGCCGCGCTCTGGCGTGCTCTGGCGTGCTCTGTCGTGCGTGACACAAATTTGTTTACATACCCTGTTAGGTTAAAACTTGCCATTTAAGGGCTTTAAATTATTACTACAGAGGCTATAAACTTATCATAATATTAAACTTTTCGTCCACGAGGGCTATAGCTTACAAATTGATTATTATAATAGACGAAGAAGCCTTCGTCACCATCGATGCCGCGGATGAAACTATGCATAAGATGCCTTATTGACAATTGATATGTCCAAGTGCGAATTTTTTTAATGCGAAATGACTACCCAAGTACAAGACCAATTGCGCAGACGCATTGCGAGTTAAAGCAGGGGGATATATTTCTGCGTTAGTATTAAATAATGTATTGGAGGTCATGGTTAATGGTCATGTGTCTTCGAGACGAGTATGAGATAGAGGATAGGCGAAGAAAATAATTAGGCGCTGCGTTATATTTATAAGTCAATGATCCCACTGTCGTTATGTGACCAGGCTCTTTAAATAGTAGGTACATACTACCGATAGTACATACTATGGACCGATTGAAGTCCACTTCAAAAAACAACGAGACGGCACAGCCTTGTTTGCCAGTTTATGAGTGGACCGTGGTAAGCATAAAAATTATCCTAATGTATCAAATTGTAAAATACTTAATAAAAACTTAAAAAAACCGACTTCAAAACACTAAAAAGTATAAAATAACTGAATGGGAGTTTTCATTTACTATAGATACCTAACCAGTTATTTTACAATTCGGTGCCAGCCGATACAAATTAAAGCAAAGCTTACATCACAAATTGATGTATAAATTTTAAACAATAATTAATGTTCGTAGCTTTTCATATTTACCTACAAAAGAATAAACAGAATACGAGTACAAGAAAGAACGAAAAGCACAAACAGATCTATCCCACGGGAACCGTTAATTTTTTCGGGATAAAAAGTAATCTGTTGTTTGACCGGCAATATAGGATATCATCAGCATTCCAAATTTTACTAAATTAGGTGCATAAGATGTTGTGTACTAAGCTGTATAAGTTACTATAGTTTTTTAACTATCCCACGGGAACTCTTGAATTTTCCGGGATAAAAAATTGCTAAAATGTTGACCGGAGATACAAGGTACCATCATGCAAAATAAGAAGTAGGTTAAGTTTTCATTACCTATTTTTCCACCCTTAGCGGTTGTATTTCTTTCTTCAAATTTAAATTGAACCAAAGGAGACGTATACACTTTCAAACAAAAAAAGAATATTCCAAATCGATTAATAAATGACGGAGTTCTGAGGTAACAAACATAAAAGAATACAACTGAATTTCTTTCTTTCTTTGAAAGTCGGTTGAAAATGACAAAAAAGTTTCTTTACATCTTATTGGGCTTTAGTCTAGTAAGAATCCTGAATCCTAATGTACGCATTGCAAAAAACACTATTAGTGTCGATATAATCCAATAGCTACTATTTTAGATACTGGTTCATGATAACAGATATGGAATACATTCTCTCATCGCCATTCAACGTGCGTCGTCAAGCCGTTAGAATGCGCGGGCGCAAGTCCCTGATTGGCGCAAGCCTGCGACGCGATCCGTGTACCAGTAACCAGCTCATTTGCACTTAGTATATCTAAATTTTTCTTATAAATCAATCTAGACGTTTCAAAATGGTGGTCTTTTCGATACTACCATAAGACGATCTTATGTTATTATGAATAGTTAAACATTCCATTTTTATGTTGTCATTTTTAAATACAATAATTAATAATATAATAGAATAAACTTATTATAATATTTTAATATATACTAATAATATAATATAAAACTAAACACATGGTTTTTTATAATATTATTTATTTGCGGATAAATTAGAATAAGAAAAAAGTTTTCTTTGCTATAAACTATTGCGCTATATGTAGGTAGCTCATTATAGTCGATAATAATTATTACCACACCATTAACTAATATGCATAGATGTATATCACAAGAGCGGCAAAGAGCTTTGTGTTTTTACTGAACGTTATTGAAATGGCTTTTTTACAGTCGGAACTGCAATCACGGAACGAAATGTACCACCAGTGTATTGCTTATTGAACTTTCTTTTCTGGACTTTATCCGTAAAAGTTTGATAAAAGCTTACCATCTAAAATATTTTTTTATTTACTAAATAGTACATCGGTTGGAAATATATAACAAAGTCAATAATATTTCCACTAAATTTGCTCGGTCCGTCGGTTTGCCTCGACTGAGCAAGTTGGGTGTGCAGAGGCCGGTCACTACGATAGTGTGGACGGCGGAGATAGAAAGGCTCATCTGAACACATTCCGGGGGCGAGCGTTTATTCCGCTTATCTGAATTTTAAATTGGGGTCTGTGTTCCGCGCGGGGCGCGCGGGGCACCCCCGCCGTCGCCCGCGCCGGATTCCTAGCGGTCCCGCCAATCCAACCGTAAAAACCCAATCAACTGCCTATTTTTATACCACATGCCAGCATTTGACACACGATTTCACTTTCAACTCTCGGAATACAAAATATTTCCATGCTAATATTTTTGGATGTTTTCGTTTGTTAGGGTAGATTTAAATAAGTACTACACAAGATGAATTGAATGAGCTGTTGGTTCATAAATGTCTGTGTGGCAGTTGGTCCATTTTGGTGATATCACGAGTTGTAAATTAAGTTCATATACATAATTATTAATTACAAATGTAATAGTATGTCGTTAAATTTGCGACAGAAAATATTTATTAATATTAAATCTATAGCGCGGAGAAAAATATACGGAGTCAATTAACTCCTAAAATGGCCATCGATATTTAACTTACTTGTTTATTCAATTAACCGATGTTACAATTCATATTACAAATTACGATAAAATTGCATCGGAGGCAAGTAGTAGCGCATGCGTCGCCTGCGTCGCGCTGCAAGGCGGCACCAATTATCCTTAAGAGGAAAATCAACTCGAATTGAACTTCAAAGAGCGCCGATGAACGTAACACGGTGATTTCAAATATCGTCGAGTGATGTCGTGTGACCGGCGCGGGCGCCGCGGCTGCAATTTGTCCGTCATGTGATTTAATTTTCCGTGGGAACCGACCGCCGCCGCCCAGCATCCCGTCAGCCCGCCATCCAGACAGCTCGCCCTCTACGACCACTGCTGGAACTGGATTGAAACCACCAGCTTTGCTTCCCCATTATTGTGGTTAATAGAACGGTGTCTATAAGCCCTCATTTCCGCCCCTAAATAACGAAAAAATTATGTCATACGATTTGATCTTTTCCTTACATATTCTGAAAGTAGGCCATATGACTGTAAAATAATATATTTATGAGAGAAAAAAAACTATAATTAATTCTATTTGTGAGACGCCAATCTTTGGTCTAACTGGGATTTTCGTTCAAAATTAGACAATTTCAGTAAAATTTTATCTTTTTTTTAAATAGAGCGCATATTAGAAGCACTTTCTTTTTTATTTTATTTTAATACTAGCATTGCCCGCGGCTCCGCCCGCGTTCAGATGACCAAAAACTAAATTCTTAGGTGTTACATATTAGTATACTCTTACATTGCAGTTTTTGTATTTTTCCTCAGAAATAAGATATTTTCCCGCGGTAAAAAGTATCCTAGGATCGCGCGCTACATCGCCCGGTTTATATAGCTTGAGCAGGCGGTCGAGCGATGCGGGGCAGAGGGGATGGACTCGCCGTAGGCATCTCAATGCTCGCCAAGCATTAAAAATGTTTCGCTACTAATTACTTCTAACAACGATATCTCAAAAACTATTCATCTGATTGATTTAGTGTAAAGAGCAATTTTAATCTGCATTAAATGACTAAGCTAACTAAAATATTCATTTGGATAAGGATTAATACCGAACTAAAGAAAATAACTTTGAAAATAACGTAATGTTTTTAATTAAAAATGTTAACATAAAAGTGGTTATTGTAAGTCAACCGTAAGAGATAGAGATATGCTATCGCGGACTTTTTTGTAGCATTTTTATAGATTTTGAATTCTCTAGTACATTACTTAACTGTATCTTTGCTAGTTTACGCGGCGTTCGCGTGGAAAGTTCCCATTTGGCGAGATTTTTTGCGACCTCTTCAACATTTGTCGCCGTATTTCAGCTAATTTACATAAAAGCATAATAAATTATATACCTAAACCTTCCTCAAGAATTACTCTTTCTATTGTTGAAAACCGTATAAAAATCCGTTCAGTAGTTTTCGAGTTTATCGCGTACAGACAGACAGGAGGACAGAAAGACGCGGCCGGGGGACTTATTTTTATAATAAGTATAGATTATTATCTTACTACACAATATATTTAAAAACTACAGTTCTTACATCCTACGCTTTATATAAAAAAAGTTGCAATATTACTGAAAATGTCTAATTTTAAAGGAATTGTTAAACCAGTTTCAGTTCAGGCCAAAGTTTGATATCTCACAAATAGTATTCATTGCAGTTTTTTTCTCTCATAAATATAAAATCTTTTCAGGCACACAGTCTACTTTCAGTGTATGTAAAGAAATGAACAAATCGTATGACTTTTTTTCGTTATTCCAGAGCGGAAATAAGACCTTATCGATACTCTTCCTTTGCCAAGTTATATCTCCATATTAAATGCTAACTTACAATAATAACGTAAATATTGTCCTCTATAAAATGATTGTTCCAACGTAAAGAGCGATGCATGCTCTTCGTAGTGTTTATAAATTGGAAATTATGAACTTGAAATAATACAACATAGTCTTATGAGCTACATTTTGCACGCAGAGGACCGATTCAATTGCGTTACAGCTCATATAAATATATTAAAATAATCTTTATTAGGTGCCGCTCGCGCTCCCCGCGGCTCCCCGCGGCTTCCCGCGGGCGGTCGCCATTGCAACTAATTAATGCATCATGTTTGCGAGGCGATTCTTGAGATCATTTAAATATTTGTACGTATTTTATTTGAACGTAACGTTTACTTAAAGAACCCCCAACACTTCGTGTGGCGTGTTTGAAGATATTTATATTCAATATTAAAGCGTAGTTACAACAAATGTCAGTAGGAGTTTTTTAGGCATAGAAAGTGAGAGGTTGTGTGTGACGCAAAGGTGAGGGCGACGGCGCGCCGCTACAACGTAGCGGACGTTGGCGGCCGTCGCTACCGAATTATATCACCGCTAGCAGCATGCGTGCATTTATGAGCGACGCTTGCACGCGAGCTTCCATTATCGTCTCGTCATAAACAAATCATATTCCCTGGGGAATGCTCGTAGGTGAGCTTCGAGGCTCTATAGGTCACTAGTAATAAATAGACGCGCCGATAACGGTCCGTTTTAATTGCACTACATTGTAAAATGTTAAATGATCCTATCGTGCACGTTTATAGACAAAAGCAATATTAAACTTCACTATATATGCAATTCCTTTCAGTTCATTGCGGTTATACAGAGAATTGTTGAAGTAGCCAATTATTATTAGCTAGAAAAGTAAGTACTACTTTAATAAAAGATATGAATTAATATATAATTTAGAAGTAAAGAATGTCTATATTTTTTATTCTAGATCTTACTGAGACTTGCTTGTTGCGTATTAACACAATAAAAAATATTAGAAAGCTTTTGAATAGTGGTCCTGAAATTGATCTCAAACTTCCTACTCCTACTACTTCCTTTCTCCTAAAACATTAATTATTTAACTCCATATCTTATATTAATGCATATTTTGCTAACATAATTCAAGTGTTCTGTCAAGTCTCTACTCTTTTACTGTATGAATCGTTAGTTTGTGGAAACTTTATTGGTGTATGTACTATTTTTATTGTTATATATTATTTGTGTTGTAACACTGTATGTTTCCCTAGTAATAAATAATAATAATAATAGTTTAAAATCAGTGGTTGCGGATCTGATCTACGGGTAAAACTGAGTTTGCTTAGATGACGTAGATATTTCTCGTATATACTTTTGCTTACATTTTGTAAATATTTTCAATCCAAAACATAGAGCACCAACTTAGGCCATTATTACATCATTACTAACGTAGAATGTCCTCGCAACGGTTCTAACTTGGTTTACAGATAATAATATGATTGTGCTTTCTTATTGAAAACTGAATCTTATTAGAATACAAAAGAGCTAGTAGGTATAGCTTGAATGGGTAATCACTCTAACTTAATCTATCTTCTTTTTAGTATATTTTCAGAAGCAGATCAGTTTAAAAGCTTAATGTAGGTCCAGTATATACTTACTATCACACCTATTAGGCTTCGCTTCAAAAGTAGTGTATAGGCTGAACGCTGGTGAGCTAGCCCGCGGTAGCCGGGGCCGGCCGCGAGAGGCTCGGCCGCCGGCGGCCAGGTGGCGACGGCCCCCCGCGGAGCAGTCTCTCACGCTCGCTATATTTCATCGTCGCAGTAATTATTATTCGCCGCTGCCTTTTGTCTTACGCCGCCATCCGCGGCCTCCAGTATTCAGTACCAACGCCGACGCGCTATATTCGCAACTTCGTTTATATTTTTGCTAAGTTTTGGAAAAAAAATTTACTAGGTACTCTAATTATATATTATTGTATCCCAGTATTAACGCACTCGCTTGGCGAACTCAGTAAAGCGGATTCAAATCTCTACATCTCATATTTTCATGTGCGAATCATTTCCAATATGATTACCACTTTTCTTATGGTCAAGGATAACATCGTGAGAAATCCTGCATGTCTAACAGAACCAAGCCAGTTTTTGAAAGACATGTGAAGTCCACCAACCCGCACTCGGCCAACGTGGTGGACTATGGCCTCATACCCTTTGTATTGAAGATAGGACAGTGGGACGTTAAAAAAGGCTGAGTGTATGTATGTGACATATAACACGCAATTATTATTGTTAATTTTTAAAGTATTCTAATAAGATGGATATCTTTCCTTAACTTATACTACTAATTAGACATAATCCTCTTAATTTTACTTAAGTGTATATAATGTTTTAGATAAATTAGCGAAAATATCTAATTAAAAATAAACAAAACCTTAGGCACTATATTTTATAAGTCATCGTGGTGTGTCTGTCGAGCCGACTCTATGGGCGACGCTACGCGTCAATACATCAGTTGTTTATTGTTTCTCCTCACAATAACTTCCCATGCCGAGAGCCGCGTGCACTGAACTGCAGCCTATTGTAAACCTTAATGCATTATCATAAAGGATAATTTGATAATTTGTAGGTTCGTTTCTTATGTTTTTGTAACATAATTTGTTGGCAGCGGTCGGGCGTCGCCACTAGTCGCTAATTAAAGGTAGTGACTGGATAAACAAACAAACACACGCGATGCAACAGGTTGATTAATGCGCGTGTATTAACATATTTCATTGCATTTGAATGGACTCCTTTCAGTGGTTACATAATACGATCTAATTGGAATGTAGGCTTTGAACGCACATTTCAATCAGACGGAGCAAGACAATGCGCTGCTAACGTAAAGGTGCCGTCATACGGTTTTTATTTGATTTTTGAGCAATAGGATTTATTTCTAATACGTTCCTAATTATTGTACTGATCAAACTTCAACTACTTACTACAATAACAACTCTCCAAGTTGCTCACAACACTAATTGCTTCAACTGGAACTGAACTTGTTTATGTTTAGTCTCGCCTCGGTGTGATCTCGTGGTATGTCTAGATACGTTTCACAAGTAGGTATCTCGCTAAACAAAAACTATTGAAATTCAAATAACTCGCTTTATAATTAATTAAGACTTATAAGCTATTTTCGTGCAAACTTATAGATATGCATCGCAAAAAATGTAAAGTATGTATATTAAATATGAATAATAGAGTACTTGCCTATAACAATAAGACAAATATCTAAAATCTACTTCACGCTGGTGGGAAGTGAGGAATGTTTGGATTTTTTCTAGTCCGAGTATGCAGAGTGCGATCAGTGCGATGCTAAAGATAATAAATTTCCTGACGGCGATTCTTTGTCTAAGCGCGGTCCGGTGTCGGCGGCGGTCGGCGGCGGTCGGCGGCGGCCGAAGATATCGCTTGTCCAAAATACACGAATCATTCCCCGTTTCACCAATTGCCGGTACACTTTGTTCATTAGATTATCTGCAGATGATTACTTAACATTTTGTATTTAAACTGGTATAAAATGCATGATCAAACCCCCTTCAATACATCAATCAATGGGATCAGGTCATAGTCCACCACGCCGCGCTGGCCAAGTGCGGGTTGGCGGACTTCACATGTCTTTCGAAAACTTGCTAAATTCTCTAAGACATGCAGGTTTCCTCACGATGTTTTCCTTCACCGTAAGGCAAGTGGTAATCATGTTAGAAATGATTTGCACATGAAAATATCAGAGGTGCGAGACCCGGGATTTGAACCTGCTTCACTCGGTTTCCCAAGCGAGCGCATTACCACTGGGCTACCACTGTCTATTAAGCGTACCTAATTATAATTTTTCATTTATTTTGATGATAACAGTAATACCTATTGTTATCATGAAAATAAATGAAAAATTAAAATTTCAATCAAACGTTTCATACTACTATCTCGTATTAACTAGGCGTATATTTCGCTTAAAGTAACACAAAACAAAATGAGCTATCCCGTTACGAAATTAGCAACAGTAACTGGAAAAAAATTGTTGGTTAATGCAGCGCCGTGAGTGCGGCGCGATACGGGGAAATGTGATGCGTAAGTCCTTACGTTTATTCAATTATTTTATACACTTAGATTTCGGACACAATAGAAATCTATGAAAAAGTTAGAGGGTAGAACTTTGTCTCTGCGACACTCGCACATCGAAACGCGTATGCGATTTGCAGTGTCGATAAACGATGGAATAAATGTATGCGCATGGAGGTCGCGCTCTAACGCACATGCAGCTGTAATGAGCCACTGTCAATAACATTTATCGTGGACGTAAAGAGTACTTGGAGATCAGTGAACGAACTTTGCTAGCATTTGTGAAAAGATTCAACCTATTAGACGGGCATACGGGTAATAATTGTTTGTGACAGGAAATGCAAATGAGCGGGCGGGGGCCCGCGGGCGGGGGCCCGCGGCCGACCGTCGCTTGATGGACGCGGCATCCGCGCAGCGCGGCGAGCACAAAGCGGATAATATCTTCATAAATCGATATTTCCACCGCTAATAAAGCGATATTAATTATCTAGTATTCAAATCTCGGATGCTGAGCGTCCGCGGCGCGCTCGTGACCGGCCCCGCGCGTGCGCCGCTATGCGCCCGCGCTCCATTAATATCGGCGGTCGTCGGCCGCGGCCGATGCGGTTCGTGCGATTAACGATCATGATTCGATTACGCACCCCGCACACCACTCCGCGCTCCCCCGCCTACACTCCACAGAGTACATCCACCATCTATGGTAGCCGAAACTATCAAAAATATTATAAACCAACAATAAAGTCACCACAAAAATTTCACCGCAAATTTCTTGGTATGTACGTAATCATTTCATCATAAAATTCTTGGTATGTACAATATCTTAGAGAATACTTATATTGAGTAATATATAAACCAAAAGTAAGTAAACGCGTGCGCTAGTGTGGAGAGTGTAGCGAGTGTTCTGACGCAGGGCTATCCTACGCGCTGCAGTAATTTGCTGTACTGTTTGCTCAGCCAGCTGAACAAATTGGACAATTTATCAACACCACATATAAAAATTTACACTGAGAAATAGTTGAGTCACGTATACGAGTGCAACGAGTGAAGTATACAAATGAGCAGCAATAGCAGGATGGATGGTCGCTATCGACCGCTGCGCGACAGCTCTCCGTGGAACCTCGCTCTATCGGACGTTTTTTATTATAGATTCCATTTCTGATGCATCTATGCAGTAATCGTAAAAAGAAACCATTGTACTGCCGAAAGTTTATAAAGTTACTTGTCATATTAACGATCCTATCGCCACTCGACTTATTGGCTGTATTTATTTGATAAAGACTAGGTATTGTGTGGGCGAGCAGCACTCAGATAGTTATTCAGATTTCTTTGTTTGCATCTAATAAATAGATCATCGAGATAATTTATCTAATAGTTAGATCGCTGACTCTACACAGAGGTCAGACTCTACAATTGCAACAGGCTGCAGAGATACAATCTATGTACAAGCATTTTTAGATTATAAAATAATAAAACTATCAACAATGTTGCCGCGAACGCGACAGTTCGAGCCGCTCGTGTCGCGGTCGCGGTGAATAGAGACAGCCCGGACTCAGTTGTAACGCGTGCTTTTACATATATTGCACAACATGCAGAAAAACAATATTAATGTTGCGCTATTTCCTGAAATAAATCTTCATAGATTTATTTATATGGTAAGGCACTAGCGATTTGTTTTCGCAGAAATGTAGGGGCATATTAATTACGACGCGGTTAACTCGTGTGCACGAAGTGATACGAACGGATTAACTTATTCACCAGGGAGAAAGCGTTATAACTGACATGAAGACGACGGCACCGAGCGAGCGCGGGCGCGGGCGCGGGCGGGAGGGTGCGGCGCATGCGAGCGATGCAAATGTGCAGATATGCGAAGTGCTCGCGACGCGGCGCGGGCCGATGTGGTTCTTGTGCCGAGCGGCGTAGGGGTCACATCGCGGTGGACACTCGGCGATGAGGCATAATTAGAGGCGGATAAGATCTGGCGACAGTCTAACGCATAATTGTAATATCATTGTCACCGAGGCCGCCCGCGCCTGCGCCCGCGCCCGCCCCCGCCCGCCGCCGCCCGCGCGCGCCCACGCTGCGCCGTGCCGTTCCATCCGCTGCACCCGACAACTTGTTACTAATTATAATCACTTTAACTATTAAGTATACTACTCAATTCCACCACACAAATAAAGTAAAATCTTCAAAAGGTTTTGCGTTCAACTATTAGTTATAAACTAGTAATCGAATGAGTTTAAATTTCTAAACTTATACTCAATTCAATAGTATCGCTAATTTACTGCTTAATATACTAGTGCAGTTTCAAAAACAGCAAAATTGCAAACAGCCTTATTGTGAACATAATGAAGTCATTTCATGTGTTTTTATAGAATTACTTTCCATACAAATACTACAGTTAATGTAGTCAGTATTACGATTGTAAAAACAAAACTTTATTACTTTCTACAACGTGCATTGGCATTTAATGTGAATAATATTGTTATTTAATATTACAGAGTTTTAAAAATGTTTAAAGAACAGGAAAAAGACTAAGTATGTTTGAAAGTAGTCATTCCATGAAGAAGACCGAAGTCATATAAGAAGACTAGAGCAGAGAGATGAGACGCAGACCGCGGGAGGCATGGGTGGTTGCATGAGAGAGAATATATGTGTGAAAGGTGTGTGTGTGCTGAGGGGACACACACTCACAGGTTGATAGAGGATATGGTAGAAGGAAACAGGTTGAACCGAAGGGCAAAGAGAAAAAAAGATTTAATTTATATTGACATACAATAATTTTTTTGATTATTGTGAATATTAAAAATGTCTTACTAACTCTGTGTCTCTCAATGTCTAACTTAAAATATAAACTCATAGAACGTGGTCACCTTAGTTCGTCCACAAAATACTTTAAATTGTGAAAATTGGTAATGGTAAAACACTTATAGAGATTATAATGTTTTTCTGTTGACATTAAATCAATTTATTATTGAAGTATTTAATACCTCATGAGTGTACCTGCCACTTAACTTCCAGTGATAGAGCTATTCACATTCGGTATTTTGGATACATAAACGAGATACGAATTACAATACACAAAAGATCGAGCACCGTTAGCATTGCACTAGAAATATGATATTAATATATATTTTTTTCATTAAATTATTTGATTGAATATAATAAAGCATCATATTAGTGAAAGAAGCCAGGTGCGCTTTTTCGAGCCGGAAGCGAAAAGACAAGCACCAACTTTGTTTTAACGTATCATTTTACCAAATATTCGATCAAATCAGTACCATTTAACAATCAGCTTATTACAAATACGTAGTGTAGTGAGCATAAATATGTTAGTGCAGTAATATTTTACCACTACATACTGCATGTTTTTTTATATTTTATGACAATATATAGATCCCATCAAAAACATACTGTAAAAAATTGCAAGTCTCGCAATGCATTACTTCTACCGCAAAAAGCTATGAGATATAATGTAAAACCAAGTCGGTTAATTTATTCATTACCTACCTATGGAAGCATCTATCCGACAACTTTGTCATAAATCGTTACCGAATTAGTTAAGTTACAACATTTTATAGTGACCGTATTAATATTAGATATATTTATTTCTTTAATTAATAGAATGACTTGACCATCGCATGGAAACATAATCACATAAGAGTCTACTACTTTAAATAGTCCTAATTAAACATACCATGACCAAGGTGGACGGACGACTTGGTCGAAGTCGCTGGAGCCCACTGGATGCGGATGGTTGGAAGACTGGTTGTCATGAAAATTTTTGGGGGAGGCCTATGTCCAGCTGTGGACGTGTTTGGGCTGAGATGAACTGAACATAGCACTAGCGGGTCAAGTTTATGCATACACTAACATAAATAATGCACTCAGAACGCTAACATTAGGTAAATTTTGTTATTTGTAAGTTCTATTATCATGTGCGATGGCCAAGTCATTCTATTAATTAAAGAAATAAATATATCTAATATTAATACGGTCACTATAAAATGTTGTAACTTAACTAATTCGGTAACGATTTATGACAAAGTTGTCGGATAGATGCTTCCATAGGTAGGTAATGAATAAATTAACCGACTTGGTTTTACATTATATCTCATAGCTTTTTGCGGTAGAAGTAATGCATTGCGAGACTTGCAATTTTTTACAGTATGTTTTTGATGGGATCTCATTTCTTTTTGTAAATATTTCTTCTTTTTCTCTTTTCTTGTACTATTTCTTGTGTGTCAGCTAAGGACTTTTTAAAAGCCCACTCCTTGTCTCTGTGGGCTTTTTTCAGAGGCTTTGATATAACAAATTTTGACAAGTCTGGATGAAAAAAAATCTAAGTCTATTGTATTGGGAAATTGCGGATTCCTGGACTTTAATACTACTATCTTATGCATTAAGTATAAATATGTATAGTTAGTTTAACGAATATTTTAATTTCATTGTTGACTCTAAATACCTACCCCGATACTGATATTCAACTTACATAAGTTTAATAAGACGTGTAGATTTATGTGTCTATCTGCAGCATCGTAGTTAAATCCCGAAATTTGTCTTCTATTCCATTATAAAAGAAATTTTCGATGAGATTGATATTTTATGACCTCTATATTCCATATTCTATTAGGTGGGTACAGTTATGAGCAATGAGATGTTGACAAGGTTTTCTAATTCATATCAACATCATACTTTGTAAAAGAAAATATACGAGCTTGGTTTCAAAATTAAGTAATCGTCAAGTTGTTTCTTAATTAGATATATATTTTAATCAATTCATTATAAATAACAGTAATCGAATATTAGTAGGTATAAACTACACACGCTTCACATTACATTTATGTACCCATGTGTATATGCATAAAAATTGTAAAGCTACTAAAAAAGCTTAAAATATTATTTTCGCATTTAAAAAATACTTTGCTAATACATATAGTTGCAAATATAAACATTAATAAATCGACGAATCGAAATTAGGTTAGTGATTACGAGGGAACATAGGATCGGACATACAAACATACATAACTATAGGTTACAAGGTTTACAAACACTAACCTAACCTCCTTTTACAGTGCAACTATTGTATAATTAATTAATTTACTATTAATTATAAATTTTATTAGAATATATGAATGAGGTGAAAAAAATAAAAGTAAGATATCAGGAAATGAAAAATATAATATTTAATTTAAATAATGGAAGGAAAAAATAGTGTAAATTTAATTAAAATATTTTATGATTTTTAAACGAAATTTATATTTGACATTAACGACACAAATTAAAGCAAGCTACGATGAAGTTTATTTATGTCAAAATATTTATATTATGTGCTATTTTATTGTGACCTATTATTTTAAAAAATACCTAAACCTTCTAGCGTTCCTTGATGTCGTTAAGGTGGAGGAATTGACTAACAAATTAAATACTTAGTGATGGCAAACGGTACCCTGAGAAAGATAAATTTTTTTAGTTGGATATTTAAGTTAATAAAATATTATATGAGTTATTCGTGTGTTTTTTTAACATGACTAAACTAAATATTGATAAATAAATATTGTACCTATGTATTAGTCCAGTAGAAGTCGAACTAACGCTCCGAGGGCTCTGTACTACCACAACAATATTTATTATGGACATTAATTATGTAATATAATTTTACGTCATAATCTACAAGGAGATATTTAAAAAAAAATTAGCGTAGGAATAATAATAGCGTTTTGATTGAACCCCTGAGTAATAATGCATCCTAATCTTGAATTACATATCATCATATAAGATTTTTATGCAATAAACCTAATATAGATAGGTATACAAAAGATATACCACGTCGTATACATATTACATGCATAGTGCTAAATGGCTAAATTTGGTCTTAGATAATTTATTTAATAGTTATATTTATCCTATACAAAATATTCTCGATGACGATACGAATATTTTTTGCATGTGTTCGTGCTGGTTTTTATTTTACAACGAATTCTCTTACTTCTATGTATGATTTGGTCGATAAGGGTAATCGATCTGGGTTTGATCCTACCTAAACTAACCATTGATTAGTTGTGAGGTTAATGCCGATGGAATGGCCTCTATTCTGTCGTAGAACGATTTGAACGTAGAGACCGGTTGGTGTAGCTCCTGGACATCAGGGACTCCCGGGAGGCTACACATGACTGCTTTTGCTGGTGTTTGCGCATATATATATTTTTTTAAATTGAGATTATACACACAACTGATAGCGGCTTTCGCTACGGTATTGCCCCGAGGTGATAACATACAAAGCGATTCTCATTACGAAAACACCCGAGTCTTCGATTACAGTCTTATATATATTTTTTTATATTTGAGATCTTGTAGCAACCGAGAGCGGCTCTCGCTACGGTCTTGCCCCGAGGTGATAACATACCGAGCGATTCTCATTACGAAAACATCCGAGTCTTCGATTACTTATATATATTTTTTTATATTTGAGACCTTGTAGCAACCGAGAGCGGCTCTCGCTACGGTCTTGCCCCGAGGTGATAACATACCGAGCGATTCTCATTACGAAAACACCCGAGTCTTCGATTACTTATATATATTTTTTTATATTTGAAATCTTGTAGCAACCGAGAGTGGCTCTCGCTACGGTCTTGCCCCGAGGTGATAACATACCGAGCGATTCTCATTACGAAAACACCCGAGTCTTCGATTACTCATATTTTTTTTTATATTTGAGATCTTGTAGCAACTGAGAGCGGCTCTCGCTACAGTATTGCCCCGAGGTGATAACATACAGAGCGACTCTCGCTACGGAAACACACGAGTGTTGGATTACTTGTATATATTTTTTTATAATTAAGATCATAAATACATATGTTTTAATTTATATATTAATTCTTAAAACTATTTACAATATTGATAATTACATTTTAGTCATTGCTAACACTTACAGTATATCCACTATTTACCCAGCTATTTGGGTAGTTTAAGTGACGAAAAATTATATGTATGAACTGCAAAAATAACTTTGTAATCCCATATATCGCATATCTATTTGTATAGGATTACAAAATTACTTATGCAGTTTGTATATCTCGAAAACAGGATTGAAATTGCGTGATGTTTGAGTTTTTCCTTCTGTTATAGGCTAAACACTAATTGTGTTCAAAATTTGAAGCTTCTATGTCTGCTAGAAGTACCTTAGAATTTTGATGATCGGTGAGTGAGTGAGTGAGTGACGATATTGACGAATTTTGATCTGCAACAGTTCATAAACTACAGGTTCAAATTGAATGTAATTTGGAAATATACCTAGTTTTATGATGTTCTCTTAGTCACTCAAAATTCAGGCTTCTAGCTTTATCCATAACGAAGTTATGGGGGGGTGGAAAATGCTCTGAATCGCTTCGAGAAAAGGATGGTACTGCCGTGCCCTTTTTTTTTGCTCGACTTGGCGGGGGCACTGCCGTGCCCCCCGATATGTATATAAAAGTGGAATATCACTCACTCACTGACTGATTAAAAAAATGGTTCGATGGAGTTTGTTTGAAATGTTTATCGGAATTAATATTTCAAGAGGTTGAGGGTTGAATTTTGTACGAAACTTCTTTGTGGAACGCTTTTTTAAAATTTAAATTAATTTACATAGGTAGTCTGACTTTTATTCATTGAACTAGTTTGTCAAAAATTATGAAACTCACGGATATTTGGATATCAATACGAGTAGATACTTAACTTATATCCAAAAGTATGGTACTTTGTTAGATATACGCATATGTACATATAAGTATTTGATATTTACATAAAACTATCTTTTCGGATTTGGTCGCGTATTTATGTTGATTTTGGTACCCGATATTTCGTATGCTTTAAAGCAATTATAGTCACGGGAGAGACTAAGGTTTGAGACGTCTCAATGGACATTATATAGTTTTTTCAAATTACCCACAAAATTACAAAATGATTTTAAAAAAATATTTTGGTTTATAAGACTCTTAAGAAATAATACCTATCCGTTAAAAAAACTAAATATTTTGCTCGTATATTGCAAAATATTATAACGTATATGAAGGTACAAATAATAGCTAAACTCTGTGAAGTGTCAGTAAACGTAGTGGCCATTGACAAGAGGAAGTGAAGTATCCTCGCATTCGCGCGGCAGGTGAGGTGGGCAATATTGGCTCCGGGCTCCTCGTACTCGCAGAAACCTTGTTAGCTGAATATGCACTTCAATCTACGCCAGAATCAAATTTGCGCCTCCGCCCTTCGCCCGGCGGCCGAGTGCCGAAGAGATGTTGATGGATTATTTGTGAAGTGGCCGGCCGCCTTTGAAATCTTTCACGCGTTAAAATGGAGGTAATCTCGTCCGACCCGCGCCCTCTGGCCTCCCGCGCCCTCCGTTTTGTTTACCTAATCATTTTATTGCTCCTCCCGCTCCCGCCCGCACTCCCTTGCCCCTTACGCTCGTCGTCTCGACCCTTCGATTCTTTGCTATAAATTTATTTGAAATTCGGTAAACGCAGCCGCTACAGATGTCGCGACGCCAACCCTTGCTCGACTCGAATTCGCCTCCTGTACTACACGCCGCAACTAGATTATTCGCGAAAAAAACTTGCAATTCCTGAGAAAATTTAAGCGCAAGCTGCGCCGTAATTTTTATGTTTTTTACCCCTAAAACTGTGTCAGGGGTGCGCGGAGCGGCGGGAGGCGACAGGTCCCGGCCCGCGTCTCTGCCGAAATCTCTTTTTTAGCACAAAAACGAAGGAGCGGAACAATGCGTGACCCATTTCCCGGCCGTGGGAAGGAATAACGTACGATTCTCGGCTAAAAGCTCGCGAATTGTGCAATAAAAAATGCATTACCCCACATTTTTTAAAAAATCGTCGAGTGTAAAAAATGCGATGCGAATGAATTCATTGTTCGAAGGGGATATTGAAATTTCAAAAGTTTGGAAGGGTGAGATTTATGTGTAAAATAACGGTTTTGGCAAAAAAGTTATGGAATCAGCTGCATATTGTTAAGTGAACGAACGTCGTTAGGGAACAATGGGCCTGAGACGGAGCATCAGCCGCGACGCGGCGCGGCGCCGGAGCCGCTGAGCCACTGACCCACTCCGTTAATGATCATCGCCAGCTCTAACCCTATCACTTACCCACGAGCTACACCATTAGCCACTCGCTACTCTGAACAAGTGCATGTTATTGTGGATACAAATAGCAGGAGTCTTTTAAGGATATAAATGATTATTAAATTATTGCGTTTACTTTTTTTACTTTACTGTAATTTGCAAGTCATTTGCATTTTTGTTACTTCCTAGAGTGTCTTATTTGCAGTGACGCTTGACACAAAATAATGTTTTTTTTATCAAAATGTTACAATTAGGCGGTGTCCACTTTTATTAGTATAATTGTTGGTATCCAAGCCGGCGCCAGATCACTTGAATAAGATGTTTTGAGGACAACCTCGAATATATCGCTCGTACCTACTTTCGCTCTACGCTGTCTGCTGTCTCGCTTTGCGCTCGCGCTTAATTGACCTCATAAAATAATAATCCGAATCCTAAATGCCGTACTAAATTTCAAACCCGCACTATATCAGTAATTTCTGCCTCCAAGTAACACCTGTTTAACTACCTACGCAAGTCTAACAAGTAACTTAGACAATGCTCCGAATGTTTCTCATATCGTGTCAATTTACTATAATCACTCGCCAACATGTGTATAAGTACCCATACCTACTGATTGTTTCACTCAATCTAACTAACCTTGTCTAAAGTCGTTATATTTACTCGGTCTTCACCAAGTGCAGACTCAAGTACAGTACGTGCCTAGACCAAGGTCGTAAATACAGAATCAAGTATCGTCTCTAAGACCAGCTAGTTGCGATCGCGGAGTGTGTGGTGCTGAATATAACAAACTGTAAATCGTTAGTCGCCGCAGTAGGGCAAGAAATATTTTGAATAAAACTATCTTTTCGGATTTTTTGCAGATTTATTTGGATTTTTGGTTCCCGACGTTTCGAATGCTTTACAGCATTCATGGTCACGGGAGACACTGAGGTGTTAGATGTCTCGAAGGTATAGTTGTTACAGACAGCCTACCCACAAATAACAAAATGAAAATTGCACCAATCACCTTACAATATTTTTAACTTTAAACATTTTTATAATTTTAATTACTTTTATAATTGAATATGGAATATTATTTATTTAATTTTGGCTGTTATTCTTATAATTATTACAATTTTAAAAATATTGATTAGTAATGTATATTTAGTTTTGCCATTATTATATTTATAGCCATAAAGAAAAAATATAATATTAATTATTTAAGCCACATAATTGTTCTATGTGTATTTTAAAAAGTTAAAATTAATTAAGAATAATAATTTTAATTTAGTTTGCTATTATTTAAAAAGACAATTTCCTAAGCAACACTATTACTATATACTTTTACAAATGAAAAATGAAAAATATTAATCTGATATGCCGTCATTTTGATCCACACAGTAAGAACTTACTATATCTACCTGTCTGTTATGTTTAGATTTATTATAAAGTCCAAATAAATCCGCGAAAAAATGAAAAGCGAAAAGATAGTTTTATTTAAAATGTCAAATATTCGCGTAAATCTAAGAAAGTATTAGAGTAAGAGATAATTAAGTGCCTAATAGAGTCATAGTTTTTGAACACCTACGAGTACCTATACCTTAAGACTGATTTAAATCCCAGCAACTTACCATAAAAATAATTAATCTCTTGACCTTTGCATTATTAAAAATGTATTTATATTAAAAAATTTTAATTATCCCATTTTTATTTTTATTTATAATATATTTTTTTATTTTACAGTAGACAGGGCCTTACTTACATATGTTATCCTAGTACTAGGATCACAAATAATATCGCCACTGCGAGTTGGGTAGTTAACAATATTTCTAAAGTAAAATATACAAACGTAACAATAATATTCGAAATATATTGCAATATTGCTGGTGTTTTTACTGGAGAAATGATGGCAAAAGTTACTGACTTGTTTTCACGCATCAGCGCCAGTGCATTCATATGCATTGGAATTTCAACACGGCTCTCCCATGCGCTCTCCCGCTACTGTCAGGGATAATCTGCATATTTGCTCAGCCGCAATTACAGGCTTAATTGCTGTCTTCCAGAAATCATTATTATTTATGAAGTGAACTTCTTATCCGGAGCATAAACAAGTTATAAAGGTATAATAAAATGCGGCGTCGCGGTGGGAAGGCGCTCGGCCGCGTACCTACGGGTTGTCAACGAGATTCATTCGAGATGGCAGTCCTTGTCGTATGTAGATGTGTGAGTCGATGCGCGATATGCAAAGCAGGCGAGGCCCCGCCCCGGGCGCCGCCCCCCGCGACGCCCCCCGCGCCCCGCCCGCGTCGACTCGAGTTTAAAACACGTAAAAACCTACCTTGTACCCCTCTCGCGAGTCGTGCCTTCACCCCTGTATTGTCTCAACTCGGCGCGCAACCCTTCGCTACTCTGCACGTGCTCACGCACACACGTACACACACTCCGCGTACACACGAGCACGCAAACACAAACTATTTTTGACATGAAGCAAAAAATCACATTGTTCCCGTTTACAATCGGCACGAATGTATAGAGTTACGTCGGTGAAGTTATACATTTCTTTCGTATGTACCTACATGTCATAAAAATAATAATTATGAATGTTCGATGCACGTTATACCAAAAGACAGCTAATACTCGTAGTTGGTAAACAATGCGACAATCCAAACAGAAAACATTTTTTGTGATCAAACCATTAAGTAAATGGATAAGCATATAATATCGTTTTTAATTTTAACTCTGTTCGCTCTTTATTTAATATAATAATCACAATATTAAATTGCGTACAGACATCAGCGACGTAATGCATAACGCAGCAGATCACGCTCCACCGCTCTCTGCCGCTCTCCGCGACTACACTGTGATGCGTTTATAATGTTTGTATTAGATTATGATTATCGGCAACGAGTTACTGCAACCCACGCATGTCCAGTAATTACCAATTTGTGTAATGGCTAATAACAATGTTGCAGTGTTGGGACACACTACGTAGGTACGTACCTACTCGTACGTGACACTAGCCAAATGTCACTACCATCCGTGCTTAAATTAATAAATTATATAATAAGCATTTACAGAATAGGTATAATACTATGGATGACTGGTAGTAAGCTATCAATTAAATTAACTTTTAAATAACATGTCAGCAAGAAATTAAAGGAAATATACCTAACAACACTAGTATTGCCCGCGGCTCCGCCCGCGTTCAGATGACCAAAAACCAAATTTTTACATATTACTATACTCTTACAATGCAGTTTTTGTATTTTTTTCTCAGAAATGAGATACTTTCCCGCGGTAAAAATCTTATAGGTATGTTGACCCGGATAAAAAGCTATCACCATACCAAATTTCATCAAAATCCCTTCACTGGTTTTTCTGTGATGCGATAACAGACAGACAGACAAAAATTCTAAAAATTATAGAGTCGGCCTCTATATCGATAATAATGTTTATTTAAATAAGATTTTACAAAAAATATTTAATGTACAGATTCGGCTTAGTTATAATTTTATTATATGTACAGATTATACAAAACCCTGACTAAATGTAAGTACCTACATATGTAGATTGTAGATACGAGTAGGTCCCTACTAGCATGTCTGTCAGCAAAATACCTTAAAAAATATTATGTATTCAAATGGAAGAACTTTACACTCATTTTTTACTACTTACTACACATTTATGCGCGTTATAATCGTATTCTTATTTATAATTAAGTAAGTTGTTGCAAAGAATTTAAAAACATTTATTTCTTTGCATTAACTGCATACTTTCTCCTGATCAATATTCGCTCGTTGAAAGTCACTCAAGCATCGTTGTGCATTTGAGATTAGTATAGTAGGTACTCGGATAGAGTCGCTAGTGTTGCATTTTATTCATATTTATTTCTGAACAAGTTCGGCTCAAATTATTCTGCTACCTCACCACTAAGAAAATAATCCTAATGCAATGCCCAATTTTTATAAGGATTGCCATATTTTCAGCAACATTTTTAGTTGAGGCGGAAGTAAGAGTATATAGTAACATATCAATACTTATTTAAGATTTTGCTGTTGATTGTTTACTTGGAGAAAATAAATAATTAAAAAATAAAATAAAAAATAAAGTTTAAAATATTAGTGGCACCGCACAGCCCCGGGCCTCGCTTTGATCCCGGCCTGTCGCGGGCACTCTCTCGCCCGAGCGCGCCCTCTGCCTCCGCACGACTGACGCTCAACAAGAAAGGGTATTCTGTTTACATTCCGCTCTAATATTGTTAAACGAAAATATTCAAGGGTACTCTTTGAGAATACAAGATTTCAGTGTATTTACTTTGTGTAATGCCGGATGTGCTACATGTGTGTTAGGTACACACTACTGTACACTCTACAGGCTTAAACCATGTCTTTCAAAAATATTCAAATATAATATAATAATATTAAAACAAAATCAACTTGAGTGTCGCTATTGAAGCTACAAGTAGAGACAAATAATTAAATCACGACAAGTTTAACGATTGCACTTTAAGTACTTAAATCTGTTTTATATCATCCTGTAAATGACAAGTTTATGTAAGTACCTATGGTGACGAAATTATGATCGAGAACTATTGATATACTATCAAATACCTACCACCATTCTCGTGCATACATAAGAAAATATTAATTTTCTAATTTAATATTATCTTAAAGTTGCTAATTATATTTTTTTTAGTTTAAGTTATGTATTTTAGTGGTTACTTTTGAAATGACTTTTCACGTACTAGTAACCATTGTTATATTCCTCACACTCGAGATATTTGAAAATGTCTATTGACGTAATACATATAACTTATGAACGCCGCACATAGTCGTGAGTAAAAGCTATAAAAATAAACTTAATAATTAGATAGCGTTTGCTCTTTAATGTAATTTATAGAGTATTCATTAGTATTGATACAGGGCCGAGGACTGTGGGCCGTTTAAGGCGATTAAAGCAATTTGTGTCGTTCAGGAGTCAACGGGTTGCGTCGAGCCCGCATGCGAGCTCCCACACTCGTCCACTCATTTTGATAAAAAGAGACCATTGTTTGATCATGCTTGTTAGTTGTTCGCAACTTAACTATCATCACCACGACGCGACGTACTAAACTGATTATTGTCATTCTCACGATTAACTTGCAAATGCCAAGTCTTAACTACGTGTAGGTACTCACTGCTCACGTTTGCATTGTAAATTGATTAGGTAGGTACTTTTATTTTTTAATTGTTTAAATATTCAATCCAACACTAATAATAAAATACGAAACGGTTAATGTGTTTTTATCGTTTGATCGTTATTCAGACTTCGTATCGCAGGTAAATCTTAATGTTTCATTGATAACATTCGCATATACGCGAATGGGGGTGGGATGGGAAGGGTTGTCACGTGTGCGGCGCGTGCGCAGCTGCCGACACCTCCGCGCGAGCACGCGCAGTTCCGAGTTCATTTTCTCCTTTGAACACTCTCGATTTACAATAACGAAAGGGTTCAGGAATTCGACGCACTTTCGCTAAGATAAAATGCTTCTAAATACAGCTGTTTATACTTTATTGTTTAATACGAACGTATCATATAACGATTGGTAAAACTTCCGCTTCAGGTTTTAATTTAATACGTACATAATAGTTGTGTACTAGATCATGCTGAATGTAAATATAAAAATAATTAAAGTACAAAAAAAATATGGACGAAGTAAACATTTGTGGCAGATATAATCGATTTGTCGACAGTTTAGCCGTAACAATGTGCCATTGATCAACATCTGCGCGTCGCTCGAACTCCGGCGCGACTCCGACCGGAGAGAGCTACGCTGACTTTGCGTTTTACGTTATTTTCTGCATTAAAATTAATCATTTAAACACACAAAATATATACGTACTGTCAAACGCTGGATAGTTTGCAACTCTTGAATTTATTCCTTAAATATTTCGCCTGTACAAAATATGTTTTATAGAATAATTATTGTTATAAAAACTTATTTTGTTTTGGTTAAATATGGTTATTGAATGCGTTATCATTGTTTTACTTGGTGTATATTACTAGCATGTTATTAGCATAAGACACTGAAACGGTACTTGTTATACATTTGTTTATTTTTACGTTTTTTTCCTTGAATCATATCTTACGAATACCATGATCCCTCGTTATCTGTGTCACAGTAAACCTAAATAGGCAAAAAATTCGGTGGCAAATATACTCGTACATATTTGTGAGAAGTAAAAAAGAATGAATTACCTCCAGCATATTGGACTGCTCCTGCCAGGTTTCTAACCACTGCGCCAAGGATATCGCTTATATGAGTGGGTACATATTGTAATATTTATCGTTGACATTAAATATTAAAAGGTTTTGATATTAAAAATTATAGAAAAGTAGTTGGAATATGTTTTACCGGTCGACTGTAGCGGTGTTCCCACGTAGAGTCCGAACACTTAGATTGAGTGAATTTTCAAGAATTTGATTTGTGCCCGCCGTCCCCAGAGGCGCACGGCGGACGCGGGGGTGTAGGGGGTGTGCGGGGGTGCTCGACAAACAATTGCTCTGTTTGCTGCTGCTCTGTTTGAAGACTGCTACCTAATATTGCTATTTGCGCTGCTCGACTGTTGACAATCATAAATTCATAACAAGCCACTTCGCTGCGACGCCGCTCTGCGACGGCAGTCCGGGGGCTGTTTGCTTCAGCGTGGCCCGCTCCAATGAAAACTTACTTAGAGTTTTAACATTTCTTTCCATTTCTAGTCGAGATTATATTTATTTCAAAGACAAAACTTAAATAATTTTACTTTTTTAGCTTTTTGTAAGAGATGTGTTCTGTGTTTGTGTACCTACTTGTAACCTACTTGTAACCTACTTGTAATATAAAACATTGAATTTTCATAAAAAGAATGAGCTATGTTTATAATAATTTTGCAAAAAAATCAATAAGGTCACAGTCAAGTGAACTTTAAATTAATTTTATTGCGCTAGGTATATTTCTTATTTAACGACCATTTTAACGTGTTTGACTGTTGGTCGCGTCGGCCGGGGCCGGGACGGGGCCGGGACGGGACGGGTTGAGCCGGTAATGATAGTGCGAGCGTTTACCGATCGACGCCACGTGCCGCTAATGCGCGGCGTCACTGGATCATTCATCATCTAGTTTTAAATTAAAGCCGTCACGCGCGACGCTCGCTGCGCCGAGCGCGGCCGCGTCGCACTCGACGTCGCGCTCTATAAATCAGTGCAACCCTTCCGAGGCCGACCAATGGCGTCGCCGTACCGACGTATGTAGATAGGGTATTTACATAAATTTACATTTACGTGGAGTCGGGCGGGCCCCGCGCCCCGCGCCCCGCGCCCCGCGCCCCGCGCCCTTCGCCCTCGCGAGCTCCCACCTGATGATTGCGCGATCCTTTTCAAAGGGTTAACCATATACTTTTTAATACAATAAAAGCACCCGGTTCGGATTTTTTATACAGCTACTTTATATGTATGTAATTTGAATATGTAAAGTGCCCCTTTTTTAACTGCATATTTTCGCTGGATATAGGTACGATTTTACATGTACCATTAACAATAGCACGTGACATGAATTTGCTTATATATATTAATGCGCTTTTTATATTATTTTTTTGTAAAATTTTATGCTATGTTATTTAATTGTAATTAAAGCTGAAACTGATAGTAAAGTTTACCAGACATTGCTTATACATTTGTTTATGTAAACCATTAGTAGGTATGTTGAAGATTTTCAAATGTGCTAATTGATAATTTAATATTAATGGTTTCTGTAATAATCCGGGATTAGTATGATTGAAGCTCTTTGCTGCAGCTGCATTAGCTATTGATCAGAGAAACCTCCCCCACCCTTCCCCCCGGCGCTCTCCGCCACGCACCCCGCCCGCCCGCCACGCGCTCCCGTGCCGCCGTCTCGCGACTCCCCGCCGCGCTCACACTGTTAATGAGTCAGCTAACTATACACTAGTGACGAGACATATACCTAGACTAGATACACTTACACTCTGTGGTCCTAGCTCCAGAGTCGACACAAAAATCAACGACTCGGTGTACAGGTCGAGAGTTCATAGATATTTGTACCTTTTATTAGGCGCTATGATAATGTGGATCTTATACAATAATAAGATAGCATAAACCAGAAAGAGTTGTGTATCATAATAAAAAGCAGAAGTTATTGTCAGAATAGCGAGACGCCTCTTACTTTTTTTACAAAGTAGGTTAACTTTAAAAGACACGTTAATATAAATAAACTTAACGTAAAATGAAAACGATGAGATAAAATGTTATATTTTTACTTTAAATGTATTTATTCTAACACTCTATATTTTATTAAAATAATACTTGAATATACATAAATAATAAACAACTACGCATCGGACAGTGACTGTTAGTTGACTCTTTGCTTGATACTTTATTACACAAGTTTTCTCTCTATACATTTATGCTGACTCTATATAGAAGTTTTAGCTAATTATTTATTGCGGGATGCGTTATTTTTAAATGAAGTAGAAATATCATTTCATACTCTACATTTCCAATCGAACGTTGCATGTTACAGTTGCACGCATTTTAGTTTAACGAGATCCCTATTATATTATCGAAAAGGTCATAAATCTATTTACGCTGTTACCCGGAACGCAGGAACGAGCCAGCAAGCATAGCAATAATAATAATTTAAAAGTAAACTCGGCGAGTTTAAAACGGTTGAGCGAAGGGTTATCCCCCGGCGCGTGTTGTCACGGCATGTACTAGTTAACGGGATTACGGGCACGCGCAGCCCTCGCCGCCGCCGCTCGACTCGACCCGCCGAATTGAAAATGCAAATACGTCGCTAATCCAACATGGCCGCGACGCGCCCGCAGCAATCAATATAGCTGCCCGCTGCCTACTTCTCTACACTGATTGCGATTGCACTCCGCCGATAGCGCTCCTTTGTCGCTCCCTCGCTGCACCCGATACATTCTGATGAGATCTAACAAAGAAGCATACGACTACAAAGGAAATCTTGCTCTCGTTAACATTCTATTTACTTCGAAATAAAATATAGTGATGCGCGAAGAGCTTTCGTTTGGCGAAACTTTCGATTAAGCGCTATTTCAATAATTCATAAGTGACATAAAACAAGCGAACTTCCGCAAGGAGCTGTGCGCTGCTTTCACTGACGATCTTCAAGTAGAATTATAAACAATTATTATATATTATAGGTACCTATTTACCACCATCTAACCGCTTCAAAAATTTATCTCTCTTCAAAAGTCTCTTTCCGCCTCATGTCGACTTTTTCTTTTCCTTCAGTGAATACCAGTTGTATTAGCTGTAAAATATTTTAAGTGTTTAAAAAAAATGTTATTTATATAAGTGAATATATAAGCTTCTTCTTAAAAAATGCCGTTAATCTTATTTTTAAAGTAAAATAATATTTCCTTTGAGTGAAACTTTATATTTTAAGTGTTTTAAACGCTTTTCTTCCATGTCCTGTGCGCTTGTTCCACGACGTTAGAGTCGATAATATATGTATATAATTTGTAAGATTTCATCGTTTTCTTCAATTATAAGACGCGTTTGATCGAGAGATTTTATTCTTCCCATAGACCCTATCGATTAATTCGATAAAATAGTGACAGTGTCCTCTTTTGCATTTTTATTTAGTTCGATTCCCGGTTCCGGTAAGCTTTTTTTAAAATAAAATTAAATGCAGTAATTATTATTTAAAAAAATAAAGATATGGTTCCCTTGAGTAAATCTTGATAACTTCAATATTTAAGGTCCTAGGTACTTTTCTTCCGTGTCCCATCGATTTGTTCCACTCTGTATATGTCTAAGCTAATAGACACGCACTATATGTGTTTAAACCATTACACTGATTGCTATAAAACTTTGGTAGAGCACTGAATGATCTTCCGCGAAGGTTTTTGATAAGTACCGAGTAGAAATGTGCGATAAGAGTGGTAAGTGTGACTTATATATATATATATATATATATATATATATATATATATATATATATATATATATAGATAGATAGATAGATTCCTCTAAATGAACTAAAATACCGCCATATTATTTAAGTTTCAATATATATTATTTACTATTTTAGTATTTAAATTTAAATTTTTAATAATAGGGTATCTAATCCTAGTTTATAATAAAATTTCTCAAATCATAAATTTTAAATAAAATTTATTTAAATTAAAATTTCACCTAATAATTTAATATTTAATTTAAAACAATTTATATTTATATATATATATATATATATAAGTCACAATTACCACTCTTATCGCACATATACGTATAGGTATAATAGTTGTTACCTTCAAGACATGTAACACCTCAGTCTCTCCCGTGACCATGGATGCTGTAAAGCATTCGAAACGTCGGGAACCAAAAATCAAAATAAACCCGCGAAATAATCCGAAAAGATAGTTTTATTTAATAATGTCAAACATTCGCGTAAATCTAAGAAAGTATTATATTGCATCTAAATCGGTTCAGTAGATCCAGATATTACCACCTCTTTATAGTATTAATATACATAGATTAGGCGTATTAACTTAAAGCTGGAAAGCTGGTATTTGCCAGTCCCGCAAACAGAAAGTGACAAATTAGTAAAAAAAACACTTTTTATCTCTCTAAAGTATATAGTCAAAGTCATGTAACATTTACAACTATACACTATGTTTAATTTATTATATTGTAATACATATAAATGTAATTCGAAAAAATACACCGAAATCAAAAAATCCAATTGCATCATTGCCCAGATACCATCGCACGTTATATACATATACCTATGTGTATATACAAATATAACTGTTGTCGAGATAACAGATTTGTAAATTATTATTGTGAATGTCCCGCGGGAGGGAGGAGATCTCGCGTTATGGCTGCAGGGACATTGTACACGATGTTTCGATTATTTTACTGCTGCATTTTTAATTAATTTATTTAACCATACATCATTACATAATAATAATATATTCTGGGCGTCAAATCAGTAATATCCATTTTGTTTTGAATAAATGTAACGACTTTAATGAATTATTGGCATATATACACTTACCTAATAATATTTACATAAGTATTTATCTATACTACTATTATAAAGACGTAAATTTTCTGTGTTTGTGAATTTGTGGGTTTGTAACGATTAGTTTGAACTGATTAGTTGAAATTTGATAAAAAGATAGTTTGAGATTCTGGGAAGGACCTAAGATACTTTTTATCCCGGAAATCATCCCTTAAGGGGGTGAAAATGGGGATGACAGTTTGCGTTGGGAAGCAAGCTAGTTTTATAATAAACATAATGTAGTAAATGAACACATTCTCAAGCGAGTCGTACTACGAGGCGCGCTATCAGTCTTCTAAATATTAATCAGTCTCTGGTCAAGTCCCTCAGCTCAGGTCCCTGAGCAAGTTTCAAAACGTCCGAGATAGTAGTAGTAGGCTGCAGTTATTTACGAGGCACGTGTCTGGTCGAGGACGATGACGACGTGCGCCAACTGTCTACCGACCTTACGTGGGCTCTATTTGTTACGAATATATCGCCAAATAATATCGCTCTACACTATTGACACATCATAAGGAAAAAATTTATCTCCTGTTTTGAAAATAAACGACTAGTAACTAACTAATACATAAAATTACGCAAAATAAGAAATAGAATATATTTAATTTCCTGCCTTTTTACTTTTCTTAGAGGCAAATATATTTAGGTAAATAATCTTCAAAATACGAGACCTATCCATATGTATGTATGTATGTATGCATATTTTCCTAAGATTTCTTTCTATTTTGAAAATAGGAAATAACGATTTGTACGGATAACTTATAGGTATGGTTATAATTAATTCATTTCGGTAATTAAATATATAAATCGAAATAATTAAAATAAGAAAAAATAGCAAATAAATTTTATAGTCAATCTATACATATAATAAAATTGTAACGAAGCCGAATATGTACATTACATATTTTTTGGAAAATCTTATTGAAATAGATATTATTATCGATGCAGAGGCCGAATCTATAGTTTTTAGAATTTTTGTCTGTCTGTCTGTCTGTTACCGCATCACAGAAAAACCACTGGAGGAATTTTGATGAAATTCGGTATGGTGATAGCTGGGTATCTAGGTCAACGTATAGCATACTTTTTTCCGCGAGAAAAGATCTCATTTCTGAGAAAAAATATAAAAACTGCATTGTAATAGTATACTAATATGTAAAACCTAAGAATTTGATTTTTGTTCATCTGAACGCAGGCGGAGCCGCGGGCAATGCTAGTTGAAAATAAAACAAGTGCGTCTAAGCGATATTAATGAATTTTATTTCTACAGTTCATTATTTATTGTCTTCGAGTTTTTTACACCGTAGGTACGTACATACATCCGGTGACAAAGATGAACTCTGTTGGATTACTCATGCATTTCTATACTCAGAATATGTACATATTCTCATACTCAGCTTATATTTTCGTAATATATCTAGTGGCGGGTAAATGTTGACATATCGTACATGTAGGTATAATAGGCTAGATATGTAAAAAAAAAACAAGTTTTTATGGAAACGTTTTAGAAGTGAAACTTCATTGGTTATTTATATTTCAAAGCTGTAAGAGTAATAAATAAGAATAAAAATTAATGACATAAATTAATTAATAAAAAGACATTTGACTAAGACAAAAATATGATTCAAACAAAGAGGAGAGAATAATATTTTATCCCTTTCTATATAGCTGGACTCTTCATATACACTAAGGGATGAACCCGAACGAAGCGAGGGTGAGCGGCTAGTTATAAATAATTTGCATATTTGAAAACAAATTAGTAAAAAAAGTAATCTCTGAAGATAGCAACGGAAAGAATATCATATATATTCAGATTATAATAACAGTTACTATGGCAACCTAATGCAATCGGTCACTATGGCAACCATGACGATTTTTCGTGACGATTTCTCGTAACGCGATCTTGAAATTTTCCTCTCATGAGTGCAAAGAAGCTTCGCTTCAAAAGCAGTTGTATGAAGATTTTTATGACAGTACCTACTAAATGTTTGTGTGGCTCATTTTTAAATCTCAATGTGCGTGATTTATAAGACATTAAAGCAAATGTATTCATGTTGGACATTCACACTATCACATCTTCGAAATCACAAAACGTGGTTACAGTATGACAAAAGTATCGAATACCACCAAATAACTCGCTGAAACTGGCGACATATTATCATGAGAATCTAATAACGACCTCGCCTTACACTTGATTACATAATATATACAATACATGCTAGTTGTTAACTATCATTTAATAGTTACCTTTGTAGTTTTTACTCTCTCAATACTGAACATAAATTTAATCATCAAATATAACATTAAATAAATATTGAGGCTAATTTCAAAGCAATGAATACAAAGCTGGCGAACGATGTTGTCTGTATCATTATTTACTTATTTATGTTATAAATGACCATTCATTTACATTACAAGGGTGTCAAGTCTCGTTTGAGGTAACTAATGCGTAATACTTGAATACGTTACTGATTTGAATACATTTACTGGATACAATTACTGAGATATGTAACGATCGATGTATGTATATGTTTGACGTCCAACTTTTATTTTTTATATAAGTAATGCAAAAGGGAACATCGGGATCCACAAGTAAAAGGGTCAGATTCTACAAGGCGTGCGTTGGATAATGGAGATCAGCGACGTTGCAGGCGGCGCCTACTGGCGCGATAAAACATGTTAGCGTCGCGAGGGACAGTTGAACTCTGTTCAATATAATATGCTTTGTAGAGTTTAACATGTGTTCAATGCAGTGTAATAAAAGTTTGAGTAAAAGGGTGCAATCACTTTACCAAAAGAACAAATCAAAAATAAATTAATACAGTTAAAGTACTAGATGTACGAGTATATGGGGGCAATAACATAGCAAATAAAATTATCATAGCTTTCACTGTTAGCAGAATTAATTTTATTTTGATTATAAAAATTAATATGTTTATTTTTTCTTATCGTCCAGACTTTAGAATCTAAACCGTCGAGTTCTTCTCTCCCTTATTTTATAACACTTAGCCTTCACCCTCTACTTTGCTATATTAATAACATTATTGTAATATATTAGGGAACTATAAATATTCCAATATTAATAAAGTGTAACGATCACCACCCCGACGGGATTGTAATATCCAATCTGGCGATCTCGTGCGAGCTATGCGCCAAGTGCAACCCTTCGAGCGCGTTAATTACACACTTGCGGGGGCGGCCCGTCGTAGCGCTGCGCTACGTGCGTAGCTCGTGTAGCACCGTACTGAGAGTATACCGCGGACCGGTCAAGCTACACTCGTTTATTTTTCGAAAATCTTAATCAACAACTGAAACAAATAAAAAGAACTCCGAATGAAAAAAGGAAGTTGGATATAATTTAAAATCTTCTAATGAACACAAAAAAAACACACACACACCGCGCTGACCCAATTCTGGATTCGGTCAAACAATGTATGTATATCATTTCCATGTAATAAGAGCCGCTGCGAGCTCTCTTGCGGTTCGTTGGGTTCGGAATAATATTCATTGAATTCTGCTCTGTTTGAGTAAACATAGTTTGTTCAGCTTTTAAGGAGCCGTTATTGAGCATCACAAAGGTCGAATATCTTATTCAAAGTAGCAATATGTTGGTGCCTAAACAAACAACGAGCACATTACGTAAATGCATTCTGATAGCAATGCATGAGCGGAAAGTGGTTCAAAGTGGACCCGGGCGCTATCGAGGAGCGCGGGGGGAGGCTGGTGGACCGAGAGGAGGAAGGACTTCCTCGATCGTTTGATCAGTCGGTGTGTTTATACACATTAGCATCACAAAGATGCGGTCTCGGTCCGAGCTTCCTTTTTTTTGGTAGAGTTAATCTCTGTAATTACAATTTAAGTACTCAAAAGCTTCAAAGACAATAATTTTAATACATACAGTAAGTTAATATATAATATTACTAAAATTCATGCATGTAGGTGTTTTAAATTAATAAAAGTTGCAGTAGAACTAAGATTTTGTATTCTGATTGAATCATGTATTCTAGATAGTTCTATAGGACGCGGTTCGTTGTGGTTAGCATTTACTCGCGATTTCTTCTCGACAGCTTTTCCTTGTTATAAAGGTTTATAAATTATTACGTAAGCAACAACGAAACTTTAGGTTCAACAATGTGCAACAAAAGCTCGGGTGACAATCAACGAATGCTTAAGTTTTTTAATTGATTTTATGTGTGGAGAGAGAGGCAGAGAACTCGAGGCTGCTCGGCACACGCGGCCCCAACCGCTTCTAACGAGCTTTTTTCAATCAAACCCGATATCGGAATTCGCGCATCGGTTAGCCGAACCCGTCGCTCCCCTTTCCTAAAAAAATTAAACAGCTTTTAAACGCGCATCGCGTACGAAAAAAATCATCTCAGGTAATCGAAATAATGGCGAGGAGCGCGAAAAAAATTCACTAAGGGCGGAAAAAGAAACGGATTCGAACAAAAAGTTGAAATTTTTAATTCGCTGGTGCGCGGGGAGCAGGGTGGGGGCAGGTCGTGGCAGCGCCGTCGGCCGTGCGCCGGGCGCCGGCGTAGTCTCGCGCAGGCCTTCGCGGAGAGCGAGCCGCTCCGGTGTGTACATTGCCGCGCGTGTGTAGCCCCGAGCCCTGCCCGCCGCCCGTCCCGCGCAATGGTGCTGTCCGCGTGCGTGCGCGCCTCCTCGCGCCCCTTCTGCACCTCCTACGGTTAGTACCTGTTCCGCTAACTTACGCATTGTCAAGCTTATTACACTTCGTTATATTTATCTGTATCTCCAGATTTTATAATACGTCAAAATATATTTCAGTTATGTTGATTGTATAATTATATCGTAATTGAAGCTGTTATGAATTAGATATCTTTATACATCTGAGACTGAAACTAACTCTCGTTTCTTTAAATTTTTCTTCATGTAAAATTGTTACCATTTATTTAATTTCCAGATTGTTACATCGTGAGTACTTTCATATTTGATGGAATAGTTATTTTAAATGTTAGTAGTATTTTAATGTAACAATTAATAATAATTAGCACACTATATAAAATATTAATTTTATAATAAATTTAATTAATGATTTCTGCTAACTTCTTAAGGCATTATACTTTCTTAGATTTACGGGAATATTTAACATTTGAAATAGTTTTATCTGTTCGGATTTTTCCGCGGATTTATTTTTATTTTTAGTTCCCGACGCTGAATGCTAGATACTTTACAACAATTATGGTCACGGGAGAGACGAAATGTCAGAAACAAAAACCAAAATAAATTCGCAAAAAAATTAGATATGATCGTTTTATTTAAAACTAGCGACTAACCCGCGCCTCGCTTCGCTCGGATACGTCCGTACGTTTTACGGTTAGTATATGCCTAATATAATATATGTATGTATGTAATATGTACAATTGTACATACATAGGTATAGAAAAGTAAGAAAGTTTTTTTTAAATAAGAGACAATATAATACTAATTCTTCATCTAAACTTCCACCCTGATTTTCTCTTAAGAGATGTCTTCCAGGATAAAAACTATTCTATGTCCTCCCCAGGATCTCAAACTATATCCATATCAAATGTCATCTAAATCGATTTAGCGGATTAAGCGTGAAATAGTGACAGATAGACATACATAGTTACTTTCTCATTTAATATAAGTATGGATATATAAAGTTGTTTGTTTTATGGTGCTGGTCTTTTATTATCGCTTTAAAGCGATTCAGCTTAAGCTGAACGTTGATAAGGAAGTCAGTCAGTCGCGACAATGCCTTTAATATATATTAAAAATAGTTATTGCCAGTGTACCTTAGGAGATAAATATCTATATGCTATTGCAGACTTTTCTGTATGTCTTTACATTTTTCTAGTACATTGTTTTGATGTATCTCTTAAGGTTTAGCGGCATTAGCACGTAAGTTATCACTACACAAAATTTAATTTTGAAACGCGCATACACTAACAGACAAACAGACATACTGGCAAAAATAAAAAATGGTTAATAACTTTTATTTTAGATTCTGTATTGTATACATAATGCGTTACAGTCATTGTTTTATGTACAGATTTCGCTAAGTTGCTGTTTTATTATATGTATTCTTATTTAAAATATTCTTAAGACATTATTAAGAATATGTAAAAATATATATAATAGTATTGTCTTCTATAAAATTATTTGTGTGATGAAAAAATGAGGAAACGATTATAAAGCTAGTTTAGTTTATATTACATACAAAAAGTATATAAAATTAATCATTCTTCGAAAGTGGCGTTATTTTCGTATTGCTATTTAAATATTAATGAATATAAAGAAGGGGTTCAATAAAATAAGTTATAAGTTATTCTTATATAATTTTTTTTTCTATAATGGCTTATAATATAATTAATACTAGTTGTAGTTGTACCTAGTTTGATACTAGATTGATTTCCCATTCGAACTTTCATTCCCATTTTCAACACCCTTAAGGGCCCATTTCCGGGATAAAAAGTATCATATTATGTCCTTCTCAAGGTCTCAAACTATCTTCTTACCAAATTTCATCGAAATCGGTTCAGTAGATCCAGAGATTACCCCCTACAATGTCATAAACTCGCAAACTCACAATTCATAAACTCACAAACTTTACGTCTTTATAATATTAGTATAGATATAGTATAGATTTATGTTGTTATTGCTGGAAAGTAAAAAATAATTCCATGTGGTCCTGCCGACGCCGCAAGGGAAATAACATTAAGCCATTAAAACATTACAATTTATTAACATACAGATATATGTAATTAAAGTTCAATAAGGGTATGATTTTTGCGCTGTCAATGTAGTTTATTTTATATATATTTTTTCATATTTTCTCTATTAATTATAAATATATTTAATGCTCCCGCTCAACATCCTGGCGCACTGGGTGTAACTGAAAATCAGCGCTGCTCGAAGTTTCGATCTTAGCAGCATCAGCTGAGTTATCACTTATTACTTATTACCCTTTGCCATAGGTAGATTAAGTTAAGTTTTTATTGATATTTTTTTTAAATGTACGGTCTTCCTGTTCTCAGTACGAAATGGATTATTTTTTGCTTTAACGTAAACTTAAAATTATAAAAATGTAAAAGGATTTCTCAATCCGTCTTCACAAAAAACAGACAACTGCAAGTTTTTTTAGCAATCAAAAAATATATTCCTATTTGATACACCCCCGACATTTCTGCGACTGTTAGTATCCTTTACAAAAAACGCGATGACGTTTCAATAAGAGAACGTCACAATGCTGAGTCTTTTTTTAGTCGAAGATCAGGTTTTTTTATGCGTCGATCCCTCGTCTCCTAAAATTGCGAATATTTAATAAATACGATGTAAATCCTTTTTATTCGCGATAGTGTATTGCGCGGATTATCCGCAGGTACCTTTCCCACGGCGCGGCCGCTAGCTGCGCCCGCACTGCTCACGGCGGAGACGCTGAGATGCTGAACGTATTCAGCATTAATATATCTAATATCGATATAATATAAGTGATATAAGAATATATAATATTTTAACCTTATGTTTGTTACTTGAGAAATTTGAACATTCATGTGTTTTTTTTTAATTATAGTTGGTGTACACCGCATTAATAAAATATATAAATGCAGAGGTGAAAAATAGGTGTAAATAAAAAACACCGAGGTTCGCCTATGATGGTTTTGTTTATTTTATGGCCCTTCAGAGAGTATTGTCTTTATGTTATAAATACTTTTAACTGAATTATGATATAATTTATCTAAAAAAAAATCCTGAAAATATTTAGCGTTCAGAAGAAACTTATAGCAAATATTAAATAAATAGTCTTATAGAAAATATTTAATTTAGTTACCTACTACAAGGTATACGCTCCAAGGTGTTCAGTTATTTCTCTACATAACCTTATAGAAAAATAATATAGGCGATTACGTTTACCTACCTGTCATAGTACAACATATTCCAATGGTGGAAAATAAAGGTGTAGCTTAGCTGCGGCCTTGAGATTATCCGATCGCGGTGTGAGCGGTCAGCTCGTATTGCTTCCAGCGGTTATCCGATTAATTAGCTTAATTAGTTAATCTCATTAGTAACCGCTGACGTGCCGTGCTGGTGATGTATCCTCTACATCAACAGTAAACAAGTATTTCAAGTTTTTAATCAGTTAATTATATTATTCTTATAAAACTAACTAAAAATCAAATCATTATAACTGTACCTAAGTTGCTCTTCGATTAGAATTAGCGGTAAGCTTCAGTGAGAGTGATAAAACAATTTGAATTCACTTGAAACAAATTGAAAAACAGAAAAAGCTCGATGTGTCAAATTCTGCGTAACGTTAATCAACCGTCACAATAACGAGCAAATTTTGAATCGTATCGTTACTTGTGATGAAAAATGGATGCTGTACGAATATAGGAAAATTACAATATGGTTATACCTAGGAAAACCGGCCAAACCCTGCCCCAATCAAAAGTTGTCTCAGAAAAATGTATTAGTAGGTCTGTTGTACCGTGCTGATGTCATCCACTACAGCTTTCTAAGATCTGGTCAGACGATTACGACAGATCTGTATTATCAACAATAGCAAAACATGATGGAACAGCTAGCCGCTAAACAACCGAGACTGCTAAATTAATTGTTCAAGCCCACTGCCGCTTTAGGAGAACACTAGACCATACACTGCACAACAGACGGTTGCTAAATTAGAGGAGCTGCAACTGGAATCTCTCCTACACCCACCATACTTCCCGGACCTTGCTCCAACTGATTACTTATTCGGAATTTAGATAATTTCTTACAAGGAAAAAAATTGAATTCCGATGAGGCAGTCAAAACCGCCTCCCTGAAGGCGGTTTTGACTGCCTCATCGGAATTCAATTTTTTATTGAATCTCGCTGCCACAATTTTTTCAGGAAAGGAATCAATGAACTATTGAAATAAAATAAAATGGTGAAATTGCATAGATAATAATGGTACATACTTTGATTGATTAAATATCTAATTTCATTTTTTTTTCGTTTTTCTTTTCCATATAAAACCCCAATTTCATATTATATAAGGACCCATATTATGGTTTGCTTTCTTTTAACTAGAATATAATTCTATTTATAAGAAAACCGCAAGCTCGATGGGTTTTTCATCGGCAGTAATGATAACAAATTAAACATCAACTTCCACTTTTCTAACTTCTAAAGTGAAAAACTAATACAAATTATCATCCGGTGTTTCACCCCCTTAGGAGATGTTTTTTTTTATAAATTCTTCTTTAGTGCTCACCACCGTTATATAAGAAAGTATGTAGATATAAAATATAAATGCTTAACCTGTGATATGATTAGTATTAAAAATTAAAAGGCCAATTCGATAACTTACATTTACGATACAAATTAACACTTTTTTAAAGCAACGTTTTTAATCAATATGAATAAAAGATTAATAAATAATAAACAAAGCAATCAATTGTGTAAGATAATCCGCCGATTAAACAGCAAGACAGCTTGCAAAGAAGCGCCGCGCGTGACGCGTCGGATTACCAGCAGACTTGCCCTTACTTGTAGGAGAGCTCATACACGACGACGTTACACGTTGTACGGTGATACGTACATACTGAGGTGGAAGCTTATTATAATATACGCAATGGTGTTAACGGCTTAAGTTTCTTTTCAATTTTGTGCTCAACAAAAATTTTAAGTGGTATTTTTCTGTTGTTGCAGAAGAGTCGGGTGATCTTATCAAGTCGCCCTCGCCGCCGCCCAGTCATGGTATGTGATTATTGCACTATATTATGTTAATTATATTATATTTATATTATGAATTCATAATTAAAAAAAGGTTTTTTCCTATAACATTAATATTCAGACTTAGAGGTCTCGCAGCGTATCGACTTTGCTTATAAATCATAACGATTAATTATTAAATAGTCTGACGAATCATTATAATAATATCATAATGACATACGTTCTGTTTGGTTGATGAATACCATGAAACATCAACAACAAAAAATGATACTATCACTTATTGGGCTTACTTTTCGTCTTTTAGTAACATAAAAAAGAATGTAACATAAAAAATGTAATATATTATTACGATTTGTAATTGTTCCCTAATGTCACACGTGCAATGGCACAATGCTGGCGAGTAGCGTGGCGCAAGGTGTACCTGAGGGTTGTGAGTCAAGTCATAGAAAGTGAACGGGTTGCTCCGCGCCGGCAGACGCACGCGCCGGCAAGGATTAGCTGCGACGCGCGCGGCACGCTCTCGATAAAAAAACACCTTTACCCTTCTACGTCGCTTCGAAATATGTCTTAGTAATTTTGGGGCTTTATAGGCGAGAAATAAATTACTCTTTCATTTGCTTTCAATGTTATTGATTTTTCATTATAACGTACATGTATTCAGCCCTTTTAACGTCCCACTGCTGGGCACGGGCCTCCCTTCAATACGAGGGGGATCAGGCCATAGTCCACCACGCTGGCCAAGTGCGGGTTGGCGGACTTCACATGTCTTTCGAAAACTTGCTAAGTTCTCTCAGACATGCAGGTTTCCTCACGATGTTTTTCCTGCACCGTACATATATATATGATGATATATGGAAGTCTTGATACGATATATGTACCTAACTATGTCGAGATAATTACTATTATGTACCGTTTCATTTTGATTCTTGTGGTTAATGTTGTTTAGGAATTGTTGCGAGCGCGAGGAGACTTATACTCCCGCAATGATGGCCCACTTTAAACTAAAGTTTTATGCAGATAGGTGTTCATATATTTTGAGTTACAACTACATATATACCTTTTATAAAAATGCGTTAGAAAAAGGAAATATCGTCCTCGCACAGAGAAAAATGACAGTGAAAACATAGTAACAATCCCATTTTACTATATACATTTTATATAGGTATAATGACATTTATTTTACTTAGATATTAAATTTTAAAACTACAGGCGAAAACACTCGCGCGTTACGAGTGTAGTGTTGTCGCTGGACACAGCTTAGGGAGGTGATGAATGATCTCGAAGCGCCATTTACATTCAATATCCGGTCAACACGACCCCGCGCCCTCGCGCCTCTACTTACTTTAATGGACTTGTATGAGCGGATAAATCGGCTTCGTAAAGAATCGAACTCTTGTAAAAAAACTTTCTTAGATACTTACTCGTATATGCGAACATAAATAAATTTTAAATAAATCTAGCGGATCTAAACCTTGTAAATATAAGTATATAATTTTGTTATAAAGAAAATGTTTCGTTTTATTAAATGAGTTAAAAATATTAATTTCTTACAAATGCATTTACCAGGCTATTTTGTAATAGGCACCGGCACTCGTATGAATGGTTAAACTGTTTTTCAATGTGTAAATTATTTTATTACAAGCCATTTGCAAGTTATATTCGATTGCAATAAACTATGAAATGAAGTATTAAAATTCAGATCCGCTCGTCATGTGAGCTGTAATAGCGTGAAGACTTAATAATAGAGTGTGCGGAAGGCGAGGCCATCTGTTTCAACAAGTCTCGGAGGAGAAGTCCAACTTTCAAGCTATAAATTGAACGTGCACCTGATTTACAACTTTGGAGACCCTATTTCCCTTTAGGAGAACAATTTTTCTACGTTTAGTTTACGAATGTTTAAAATAACACCATAAACCCCTCGTATGAAGTATAAGTGAATGTTAATATGTAATTGTTATTAATCAACGTAAGCGTATTATATGCTATCTATAATATTATGTTTATTAATGTAACAGATAACTAAAAGAGCAACTGCTGAGTTTCTCGCTGGCTCTTCTCAGCAGAACTGCTTGCTGCTGCCGAGTCGGTGGTAGCTTCCTCACGGACTGACGACCGATGACTGACACTGACGCTCTATAAATAAAATTCACGATTCAAAAGTACTTGTAATAAGTCTATTTGAATAGTTTCATTTCATTTCCAAGGAGCGTTTAACTATAAACTTTAAATATCTACTATAAATATTGAACTATAATATAGATATTTTAAAATATAATATGTTTATCGGAATCTTTCTTTTCCTGGAATAAAAAATAAAATCGGTTATAGATTTTTTGTGTTTCTTTCTGGGCAATAATTTTATATGGATACATAGATAATATATAATTATCAGTATAAACCATTTTGGCCCACGCGGCGCGCGCTACCTAGCGTTCGTTGATGCAAGTACCGATATCATAAACTTTCTAGGAGCTTTTACTACTAGGTAAATTGTGTAACTCACGTCTATTTTAATCGTTAATGATGAACAGTTTAGGCACTTTAAATTGTTTTCTTCCGTTAGAAGTTTATATTATCCACTTTTAATATCGTTTTTTTATGTAGATATACCTATTACAGTAAATAGAAAAATCACAATATTTTTATTATATTTAGAAGCAAATAAATGGAGAAATATTCAATCGTATAAGTAGTTTTAGTAATTTATTTAAAGGCAGTTATTTAAAAATACGGCAGGGTAGGAACTTCTATTATGTATTTTAACAGCATGAGCCCATCTCTATTTTCTTATCGACATTGACCGGGCTACTGCGTACTGTCCATAATGGCACGCATGTGGACTTTTGCTCTGTAACATTTTAGGTACCTCTGTATCTTTAGCACACAATTTTACTTTAGCGGGACACAATTATATCAAACTCATTTTTCTTAAAATATACTCGTATCTGCCTGTCTATCTGTTTGTTAAATAATTTAAGTGTCATGTAACTGAGTTCTCATCTGTTTTATTATTTGTAATAAGTATACTTAGTTACGAGTATAAGTTTGAATAATCTTATCTTCACAATCGGTATAGGTACGGTTAGTGCAGCGCCGCCGCCAACCGCCACTATAATAATTTTGTCACGCGACAATATTAATGATAAAATAACTTTTAAGATGTTAATTTAAATTATCTGATGCAAGACATAAATATATTCTAAATTAATTAACTAATATAATAAACATATCTCCATATCAGTTAAAACAGCTTTGCAAATAATACATTAGTTTTGATCAAAATTTGTTATTCGTTTTGAAAATTTCTTTTTTGAATTTTTGAAACCATTTTGTGGGTAGGCACTAAGCCCGGCTAAAGCGGTTCAGGTAGGCCTATTAAAAAATATAAATGCAGTTATGATTATTTTAAAAATAGAATAATGTTTCCTTTGAGTTTGACTTGATAGATCTCAATATTTAAGGTAGTTTTCTTTCATTTCCCTTTCATTTATTCCATCCTGTATAGACCATGCCTATTTGAAATATTGCACTTTTTAAATGGTGAGGTTTTTCAAATACGTATGTGTAATGGTACTTATAAAACTATGCATAAACTTACAAAATTCTTACTCCCTCTGTATAATGATAGTATAAATAATAATCCGTACACCTGTAGGTTGTAAAATAATTGAAACTGCAATGTATTGAAATAATATTTAATTAATTTATTACAATTACATAATGTAATTTAGTTTAGTATAGTTTAGTTACAAAGAGGTTCTGTCGGAGTAAGCGACAAAGTATGTATCATTGAGAGTATCAGTAAAATTAGATTAGCCATTTCGAATAGTTCACACAAACATAATATCTATAAATAAAAAAACAATTACGACCACGGCGGGCAATTTTATTTAGACTAGCCCTGTGCGTAGGAGGAACTAAACATAGCTACACTTAACTAGGTAGGTACTGATGTAGTTATACATATGTACCTATAGTGCAATATGAATATTAGAAAAGATCGATATTTAAAAACACAGAAGCGTTAACCTTCCTTTAACAAATGAATATTTACCTACACGTTAGTATATTAAGCATTGGTTTATAATAATGTAATAATGCGATATGTTGCAGACGGTTCGGCGAGCGGCGAAGGCAGCGGCGACGAGCGCGCGTCTCCCGCGGCGCTGGCGCTGCCGATGCCGCGCGCGCACGCCGTGTCCGCCGCCTCCGCCGCCACCGCCGCCGTGCTGGTCAGTACACCTCACTCCTCCGCTCATCACCCCATCCTCTGGGCCACCATCTTTAGTAACCCCCGGCCCCCGCATCTGCTCAAACTTCCAGAACATATACATACTTTATACATATACATCTATGTATATGTATAAAGTTTATAATTAACGTTATTTTAATATTTCTAGCATATTTTTTGTGTCTGTGTAGTTCAAATTTTGAAAAAATTCCGATATTATTATTTTACATTTTCTATAACTTATACAATATAAATCTAAACTCTATTGAGTTTGTGGTACAAAAAAGCTCCTAAAAATATAGAAAAACCTATTAGCAAGGGCAAGTTTGGTTCGTGACTTAGTACAGACCAAATCTTTTCTTCTCTTATCTGAAGGAAATGTTGCTAAAATATATCTTTTTCTAATCGATAAAACAGTTATTACTTTTTATTATACTGTTTCAGAGCGCGGCTGGCGCAGGAAATGCTTTGGCCCAGTTACAGCATTTACTGCTCACGCAACACGGCGCGCATTCACTACTTCTACACACACAAGTTAGTTCTTTATACATATTTACATTACCAGATTTTTCATATTAGCGAAACTTTCCATTAGCTAGTACATTCAATCATTAAAACCTAAAATCGTCGTTTATTTATATTTTCAGGTGCAACAAGCAGTCGCACAAGCCGCAGCGCAACAGTTGCAACAACTTCAAGCGCGAGCAAATGCCAGTCAGCCATCTATCGGTACGTGCTTATTGATAGAAATTTGATTAGCCATACAATTATAAGCTTGATAGTTTTAATGTCAGTAAGAAAAAAAGAAAAGGATCAGAGGAGTAAGTCGACTAAAATAACGCTATCATGAAAATAATAGAATTAGATTAAATGAGAACTAGGAATAAAACACCTTATAAAATTTTAATAAAAAAATTAAAATAAAATTCCGTACTTGTTACACAGAAGCAAGATCACCTTCCCCGCGCGGTTCTCCTCCCGGCGCCGCAGCATTCCTGACGCCGCACACGCCCGGGCCCGGCCGCGCGCGCTCGCCGCACACGCACCACCACGCCCACGCGCTGCACACGCACGCGCACGCGCACTCGCCGCACCACGCGCACGCGCAGGCACAGGCGCAGGCGGGACACTCGCCACTCCACGCGCACGCGCACAAGCCACGCGCGCTGGATCCGGCCGACGACACTGCAGATCTAGAAGAACTCGAACACTTCGCCAAGACCTTTAAACAACGCAGAATAAAACTTGGTACATATTCGTAAATAGGACCAATATCATCATCATCTCCCTTCCCATTTCCCAAATTACATAGCACCAATAATTAATATGTTTTTAAATTACCTTACAATTTTCAGTATCACGTTTCGTTCGTTTTCAGGTTTTACGCAGGGCGACGTAGGCCTCGCGATGGGCAAGCTATATGGAAATGATTTTTCTCAAACTACTATATCAAGATTCGAGGCGTTGAATCTCAGCTTCAAAAATATGTGCAAATTAAAGCCGCTCCTGCAGAAGTGGCTCGAGGACGCGGACTCGTCTATGAGCGGGGGTGGCGGCGGCGCCACGCTCGGCGCCGGCCTGGCCGAGGCGGTGGGGCGCCGCCGCAAGAAACGCACGTCCATCGAGTCTGGCGTCCGCGTCGCGCTTGAAAAAGCTTTTCTTCACAATCCTAAGCCCACTAGCGAGGAGATCGCCGCATTGGCAGATTCGCTGTGCATGGAAAAGGAGGTTGTACGCGTCTGGTTTTGCAACCGGAGACAGAAGGTCATTATAGAGTGTTATAATTAATTCATTTTAAATATCCTAAAATGCTGTTCATGGCATTAACCAAATACAATGTTTATATAATTTTAGGAGAAACGTATCAACCCGCCAGCGGGCGAGGTTGGCGGTGCGTCGTCGCCCGGCGGCGGCGGGTCGCTGCTGCCGCTGACGCACCCGCTAGCGCACGCACTGCCAGCGCACGCGCACTTGCACGCGCACGCGCCGGCACACGCGCACGCGCACGCGCACGGGCCGGCGGCGGCTCACGCGGCGCTGCAGGCCGCCGCGCTGCAACCGCTGGCGCTGCTGGCGCGCACCCCGCGCGACTGACCGACACATATCCTGTAAATAGCGCCGCCCTGTACAGACTCACGAGTGTACATATGAATCATAGTCCGCTGCGACGTTGCGCGCCGAGCTGCGGCCCGAGTCCTCGCTGATGAGTTCGATTGCACGATCCTACTGATCCCTGAACAGGCGCTTGGCAAATGAACCATTAATCATTAGGTTTAAGTAACTTGTCATTTGACCAATTTTCGAACACGGCGACGATTTTTGACTGAAAGCCGAATGCATCTGTAAAGATCATATATTATTTGTGCATCAGTAAATAAGTCCTGCAATCGGCTTCGTCAGAGCCGAACTCCCCGCGCCCCTGCGGCCGTGCGTGGCCGCAGACGGCGCGGGCACGCCGGCCGCGGCGCGCGCAACGCGCCTAGCCGTAAGCCATAGTGTAGTGCGGGCTCGCCCGCTTTAGTGTTTAAGTTTATATAATAATGTGAATTTTATTTATGTGAGGCGGTCCCCGTCGTGTACAGAACTCATATCACTTAGCGCATAACGCGTATGTAAGGTGGATGTGTAGAAAACTATCTATATGTTACAATAAAACATGATAGATGATATTGGCTTTTATTTTATTTCCTTGATCGGCAGCCTTTTGATGCATTTATACACAATATCGACAGAATACTTTTACAAAGAGTTGTTTTCAAAATATTTCCCACCATAAGGCATACCTTGGTTTATAAAGAGCAATTTTTGCAATATGATAATGTCGGAAAGCGGAGAATAGAGTGAAATGGTCACTGGGTTTTTTCTGCCTTTCCCCAATATTATGTAGACTACTTTTTTATCTGTGTGTTTTTATCACAAATGTCAGACAATAACAACGGTTACCATGGCAAAGTAAAGTAAAAGTAAAGTAAACTAAAATTGATTTTGATTAAATACGCTATGAACGTAGCAATCTTGCAGCCGGATCTCGATCCATTTAAACAATATACTTTTTATGAATAATTAAGTGTTAGATATAGTTTTTTCTAACATTGCATTAATTTAGTTTATCTAGTTTCTAAATTAAACGTAATTTAATTTATTAAATAGTTTCGAGTTAGTTAAAATTGCTGACTGGCTAACGAAATCGGTTAAAGGACAGAACAGGGGGGATACAATTTTCATGTTTCAGTCGCTTTTGTGAGTAAATTAAATAAATGGAACTGGTGAATTTCAGTGACCTTATAGAAGAAGTTTTAAGATCTCACAGGTTTACTTCAAATTAATAAAATATTTTTTTAATAAATGCCACACATAACAATTACTATGATTGTGCCACAGATTACAAATAATCGGTAGAAATAAATGCTTATATGTAAATAACGTGTAATATGTTATTTAATCAGGAAGATAACAAAATTTTAAGGTTGAAACCAATAAATTAAAATTAAAGTAACATTATATAAAGTTTTACTTCTTATAGGGCATACAAATAAAACAACTAAAATAGTTTAATTCCTTTTATTAACATGAGTCGTCAGAATCGTCATTGATACTAGCTTCGTCTGATGAAGAGTCTTCAGTAATATTAATGATTAGCTCTTGTGTGCCTAAATTATGTGTGTCTTTTTTTAAGAAACCTAAAAACTTGAATAATATTAAAAAAATATAAAAGTAAAAATTTTGTATGCGACCGAGATTCGAACCTGGCCACCTGTGATTGCACGATGAGATACAAAAAGACAGACGGAGTTCTTTTCGCAACTAATATTGGTATGGATATACATATAAAACTGTTTTTTTAGTGGTGCTGGTCTATCATCATCGGCTTAGGCTGAATATTGATAATATCAGTCAGTGAGTTGCGATATTGCCTTTAATATAATTTAAACTGTCTCGGTGGTGTAGTGGCTAGCTAGTACGGCTGCACACCTGGAAGTCCTGGGTTGGAGTCCCGGGTCGGGCTAAGTTTAGTTATTGAGTCTTTCTGTATAGTAAGTCTCAGTAACAGCCCGGAGTTGCGAAGTTGGCGGTGTTTCACCCCCGTGCCTCGGAGAGCACGTAAAGCCGTCGGTCCTGCGCCTTAACTCTCACTGGTCGTGTCGAGCAGTCGTCCCAACGGAGTATGAGAATGACAGGCATAGAGAATGCACCTGTGTCTGCGCGTACACTTGTGCACTATAAAACCTCCGCGCAGTTGGCTAGTCTCAATGAGATTGGCCGCCGTAGCCGGAATCGGTCAAGAGAACATCATCATTATGTAAATCACCTTACTAAGGATAGCAAAATCGCTGAACGTAACATTTGCTGCTAAATATGAAAAGGTGGAAAGGAGCGACACTTTCACGATCAACGCCACCTTTCACAGTCTGTGGGAAACTAAGCAAAATGTTAAAAACGCCATCTATATTGAAAACTAAAAACATTGTTATTTATATAATACTAGCAGAACCCGCGGTTTCGCTCGCTCTAAAACTAAAAAAATCTCTAAATATCTCTGAAGATCTCTAGGCGATGAAAGTTTGTATAAAACTAACAAACTTTCATCCCCTATTATACCCCCTTATAGGATGAATTTTGAAAAATGTTAAAACACCTACCTATTTATTTAATTTTATTGAAGAGCATTAATACCAAGATTTAAGTAATTCTGATCATAAATAATGTTTTGGTATTGTATTATAACTTATTTTAACTTATTTTCCTGTAGGAATTATATAATCTCCCGCGTTAAAAAGTAGCCTATGTCACTCTCCAGCCCTCCAACTATCTCCACACAAAACTCCGTTTCGACGTGAAAGAAAGACAAACAAACAAACGAACAAACAAACACACTTTCACATTTATAATATTAGTAAGTATGGATGTAAGTTACCTATGTAGTATATTGTCACATCTAGCAGCGCTCGACCGGCGACTCTACCTTGCTGCAAAGTCTTATTTTGTAGTAACCGGAGACATAAGCTACACTGTATTCTAGTTATAAAAATAATTGCAAGGCAAGAGGATGAGATTTACGGATGAGCTCCATTGAGCATCCACTTAACATTATTATTATCGAACAAAGCAGTGCTGAGTGCTCGTGATATGATTTATATTGAAAATATGATGTATGCGGTGTGGGAATCACATTATAATACCCATTCTATTAGCATAGTTTCAATGTAATATTTATTTTATGTTTAATTTGTATTTTATTATCAATTTGTACTTTCTTATTTGTCTGTAGCGTTGTAAGAGGCTAAAAATGGGCATGAAAGTTTGTATGGGGAAGCAAGCTAGTATATACTTATAATATATATATATATATATATATATATATATATATATATATATATATATATATATATATATATATATATATATATCAAATTCACATTAATAATACAGGTTTTTTTTAACATGCATTTATTGTTAAATATGTTAAATATTCACACTGACTTTCAACATTAACTTAACAATGAACCATTACCTATCGCCACTTTATCTTCTCCGTTGTGTGTTAATTCTATTCTTATAAGCCATCTTAATTTTGAATTTCAATCAAATTTGTTACAGTGACGAAGCAATAAACACACTACTTCTCTTTTTACTCAATTTTCGTCACATATTGTAAAATAAAAACATACATAGGTACTTTTTAATTCTTCAATTTACAATGAGGTTAGATAGAAGAGTGTCACCATTTTTAAATATACTTACTTATTGCCATATAAGTTATTATTGTAGATTAATATATTAATAAAAATATGGATGAATGAATGTCATGCATGACAAGAAGCTGGCTCGTAGGCCACAGCATGCTCCTTGTACAGGTGTGGGGGAGAGAGAGGTGGAGGCAGGAGAGCAAGGAGTAGAGCAGCAGCAGCGCCGGGATGACGCCGCGCCGCCGCGGGCGCTCGTCCGCGACATGTGCCAATGAACTGCACTGCGCGACCGCGCCGCGCACACGGCACCGTTAACGTGAACTTAACAATTTTATTTCTATTAAAATAAAAATTATATTTGTACGTAATTAGTTCGTAATTTGCTAGCATTTGATTTAACGCTCGGTTAACCATCAAGTGACAGACTACCGCGGTGGCCTCCTTTACAAAAGAAGGTAATAATGTATGAAGGTAACAATAAATAAGAAAAGAATTATAAATAAAGTTAGCTATAGCACTTTCAAAATTGCACGCCAGCGCAAAATGTAAACTTTGTAATATAATATAATGCTTGTATCGCAAAATAATTGACCTAGATGCTGTGACCGGTTGAACAAAAACATTCGCAGCAAGCAAATCTAGACTCCTCCGCTAACTATCGTGGCATCCGAAGCGATAAGGATCTGCACAGCGCCGCGCGTCGCGAGACAGCGGCCCGTCCTTAATGCACGCGTGATATCACACTCGTTATCAGTGCGCGATTAGATACCGCCGTGCTCGCATCGCGCCACGCACAGCCGCTCCGACACCGGTACACACATTGCGCCCGCTGGTGGCGTTCGCAGATTGACCAGTGCTAAGTGCTAGGTGTGACGAGAGAGCAGCAACGCCTCGGCCCTCACAGCCCTCACTGGGCCGCCGGCGACATGAGGAGCAAGGACCGCCTCGAGGAGTTGAGGCATGTGAGTGGATTTATTACAAGTATTTACGTACTCGACGTAAACTATTAAGATATTTTACAATTTCTATTACGTAACTGTTTATTCCCAACAATATCTTAAATGACTTTCCTGTGTAATTGTGTGTAAACAGTAGTCAATCATTAAAGTACCACATGTAGGTAATATTCATTTAATATTTTTATTTTAACTAATAATTACGAAAACCAAAATCAAAATGTGAATAAAATTACTAAACTCAAATCAACATGTCATATATTATGTAGATCTATAGTGCCTGACCCCCTGGTTAATACTTTATTTATTTATTAGCTTTTCAAGGGAAACAAACAGTACAGTATACAGCTTGCCACCACAATATGGTAACTACCTGTACAAAAATTTAGAATAAGTATAAAAATAACTGAATGGTACCATTTATAAACATTAAGTACATACTTATGCAGTTAAAAGTAATATTATACATACAACCTATAGCAAAACTACCAGTTATAAATTTTGTTTTACAATATCTTTCTTGTAATTGTTATATTTAAGGTGAAAGATATCTAATTCACAATATTTTAAATTAAATTTGTTATATGCACGAGATACAAATTTATTTGAAGCATACTTCGTTTTAATTTTACGAATTGCAAAAAGAGGTTTATTTTCTCATTTCTGTGACACGCAAGATTCACTTTACTTAAAAGTAGAGTAGAGTCAAAATAAAATTTTAAAATCATAAACCTAAAATAAGATTTTTCACTTCTGCCCTTCGGTATAATTACACTTTTACAGCTTATAACCGGAAAATTTCTATAAAATTAAGTGAGACTTAGACTTCAGGTGATATCTGATATCACACAAATATTACAGGTAAGTGTAAATGCTTGCGAGTTACTTCGAGTATTCGTTAGTCGTTACTTCTTCACGTGAACATTGAATTTGGAAGTAATTTTGATGGAACTTAGAACACATATGGGCCCATTCGTAAGATACTTTTCCTGTTAACGACCTAGGTGATGCAGCGAGCAGTATTAAGTTCATAATAAATCCTTAATAGTAAACTTAAATATTAATATAATATATTAAATAGTAAACTTAAAAAAATATGTCGGTTCCGCTCGCGTCGTAGATAAATACATTGTTAGAAAGTAGCCGTAGTGATAATGTATAAGCTATATTCATTCTGAATATCACTTAAGTCTAACTGCAGTTACAGTATAAAGATGTAACAAACAATCTTTCGCATTTATGGAGGTATCTTTATTTTAATAGGTAGGCTATAATATACATGTTTCTTTTAATAATCAACATATTAACGACAGTTTATTTTTATTGAAAATATTTTATCATACTTAATCTATGAATAAACAACATGATGATAGTCGATGACACAATACTTAGATCGGTGCATCGGTTGGACGATCTCCTTCACACGTAATTGAATTTTATATGAATATAAATAAATATTTAGTAAATATATCATGTCCGATAAGAAGTTATTTAAATAACTACAGTATTGTCAATTTTATTATTTTAATAAAGATTTGTTTTTATTATTATTCATTTAAGACTCTATAAATGAAGTCACCTCTATAACTTTTAATAAAGATTCGTCTTGTACGATTCCAGCTGGCGAGCAGCGCGGGCGTCTACCACGACACGGTGGTGTCGGTGGACGCGGGCAAGGCGGCCGAGCACCAAGCTGACATCGACGACCTCTTCAAAGAGGTCAGCTTCATTGTTTCACGTGACACGTGTGTCGAGTATTGTCGCAAACACATCGCACCTCATTCGTTTGACAAAATTAAAACTTAACCTGTTTTACAATATGATATACAGTATTTGACTACATTAGCTAAAACGAGGTACATTTTTTGATACTTTTAAATTTTGAATTAAATTTCATAATGTAATATCGCATTAGATTCTATTTATGAGACGCAATGTCGCATAATTGCCTTCGCTATTTGTACATCAATTTAATAATAATTAATGAACGCGCCCGCAAGCCGCCGCCGCGGCGGCGGCAGCGGGCAGGCGGGCGGCGTCGCGGCCGGCCGCTAGTTTTGTTCGTTAAGCTCATTAATTATTGTTTACGCAAAACATTTAGAGCACACAATTGTAGTTTCATTTGTTTAACCTAAATGTCCTATACATTACTGCATATCTACTGGCTTTATCACTACTTCTTTGTCTTTACTGATACGTCTCTTATAAGTTATAATTTATATGAAATCAATTGTATTATTTCAATAAGTTGAAAATAAGTTTATATTTTGCCTAGGATATTAGCAAGGCATTCGGTATATGTAAGTTTGCTCAATCAATTGAGAATGTCTATTTAGCGATTCGTTGTGATGCCACCAAAGTTACCGGCGACGAGTGCCGCAGGTCACCGCACACAGCTGCGCGCGCGCACTCTGTGGCGTCGCACTGTTTACGATACGCTCAAGGTGACGAGCGCGGCCTGGCTCGCTGTTGACATTCAGTTTCATTAATCCGGAATGACATCACATGGCTCGCTCTATCCACTCGCCTATTAATATTAGTCAAGAAGTAACATTATACTCTAGGTCTATTTTAACCACTAGGTAGTTCTCGATGTAGTAAGACCTTTATAAGCCACTATAGTGAGAAGTTAATGTTACTTGCTGGAAAGTTAAAGTTAAAACATTTTGTCCTCAACTCTACCGCCAATTCACAAATGCCAGTTTTCTCTAAAAAAAAATTTTACCTACTTTACTTAAACTATCACTTGCTCTCCACTGTATAAACTGTAGTCTACACATTAAGATCAAGATACAATTGAAAGCCAAACCTTTTACGTTTATCCAGGAGCACAATAGTTTACCAAATTGAAAGACATGAGGCTTATAAAGATGTCATTGAGTGTATAAGTTCACTCGTCCACACACTTATAAATGTTGTATAAAAGCTTAGTCAGTAATTATCACCTTTTGTAATATGAATTGTGTTTTATTTTGTTGTAGATTGTAATAGATTTTATCTTTAATTTGCCAATAATTATTAATTATTATTAGTCTTTTTGTATACCAAATAACACATTTTTACAAAAAGAAATCCTTTTAGAAATAGTTATATAACCACTAGAAAAAATTAAATCTGGATCACATGAAGCTAGGTTCAAGTGGACGCAAAGTGTAACTGTGCAAAGTGTATCATGCAATATATCAAATGGTAGAGCTTGTTTAAGGAAGCTAAAGCTAAGAATTTTAAACAAAATAAATATAGAGGGGGAATGCATAAATTACTTTATAGATATGATACAACCACTGTTAATATAATATGTCGTATTACACTAGTACAGATGTCTCATCCCATACAAAGAAATTGTATAGCGTTAGTTCGGGCTATTCTTCGGGCTATTTTTGTTTATTTGGCTAGATGTCGTAAGTCTGCAAACTTTCGCTTTGTTGTTCGTTCACGTGTAAACAAAGATGTGATAAATATTGCAAAACTCATCTTGAATTTAATTAAAACAAATTTCAGTGAATTTACCTAATAGTTATACACCTGGATCTCCATCTACCTGCAACCCGGGATTAAAGATAAACATTCTAGATTAACAAATATATTTTTTCTACCATTACAGGTAGAGGAAATTCGGGGCTGGATCCATGACGTGAATCACAACACACAACTCATCCGGCGACTGCACTCGGACCCCACATATCATACAAACAAACGTAAGATTTTATTTCGATTTAAATAATATCTGAATACATTTTATCTATCCATAACAAGATGCAAAGCTTATATACAACCCCTTACAAGTCCGTTCACTTGCTTGTACACGACATGTTTGTTATTCTTTCACGCAAAAATTATGAATCTTTATATGAATATACCTTATACATCAGAGTAACAGATAGGCTATTATTTATAAAGAGATATAGTAGAGAGATACAGTAATACATAATTATGTATTACTGTATCTCTTTATAAATATTAGTCTATCTGTTAGACTGTCTATATCTCGATTCAATTGGAAATACGAGAAATACGATTCAATTGAACTACATACGAACTGAGAAAGCCTTTATCACTATAGAAACTGTTATAGAGCTTTTGCAACGGTTTCAAGTCGATTGGCGATATGTTCAGGTATTGAAATGTCTGTATGACGCCGCTACAATGACCGTCCAAGTCCAGAACCCGCAGTCTGAACCTATCTTTCTGCATCGAGGTATGAGACAAGTGAACGTATGTAATTTCCCCCAAATTGTTCACAACTGTATTGGAGGATATGCTTAAGACTCTGGACTGGGAGGTACGTGGCATAAATATAAACGATGAGTACATCTCTCATTAAAATTCGCAGACGATATCGTAATCATGGCTGAAACCGTGCAAAACTTAAAACACATCCGGCAAAGCCTAGCCAGTTCTTCAGAATACATCGGTCTCTGAATGAATTTGGACAGAACCAAAAATACAGCTGGGCTGGGCAGCATTTAGTAAACTTCGTCGAGATTTTTTCTCGCCAATACCGCAAACCCTAAAGATTTCACAGAGGTATTTAACGAATACGTCCTACCTGTTATGACATACGGAGCCTAGAAGTTGACACTGTCGGTGCTATTGGTCCACCAGTCTAAAATCACTCAGCGTACTTTGGAGAGGGCTATGCTCGGCGTTTCTCTGAAGAATCGGTTCCAAAATCGATATAGCATATATAGCATATATATAGCATACAATTAGCAAGCTGAAGTGGACAGTGCAGTGCAGTGGACTGATCACATTTGGCGCAGAACCGATAACCGATGGAGTAGATGGGCTAGAGTGAAGACCACGGCTCGGCAAACGTAGTGTAGAACGACGTCCAGCTACGTGCCCTCAAGGTAGGTAGACCTAAAGATCGAGCTCAGTGGCATGCCATAGGAGAGGCCTATGTCCAACAGTGGACGAAAACAGGCAGGTGTGATGTGATCAAAACCGCGGAGAAACGCTAGTTGCTTATATGAATAAGGATGGTTCAGAGTTGCAGGAGCAGCTGGAGTCAGTGGTGCTGCAGTCGAACGCGGCGGCGATGCGCGTGTGTGGCGCGTTGCGAGGTCTGGGGGCGCGCGCGGGGTCGGGTGCAGTGGCGGGCGGTCGCGGCACCGCTGGCCGCATGGCGCGCCTGCAGTACTCCACCACGCGCCGCCTCTACGCCGACGCTCTTGACGCCCACCACCACGCACTGCACCTCCTCAAGGACCACCAACTACGTCTATTGCAAGATCAGATCAAACTCAGTGCGTATGATTTACATATTATTGACGTCACGTTTGACTCAGTTTTGCCAGCGGTCGCGGGGGCGAGTCCCGTTGGGGGCATTAATTTGTATGATGACCACGAATGTTTGTACTCCAGTCGTGGATGTTTATACTCGTATTTATAATATGGATGTATTTAAAGTTACATATGTGTAGTGTATCAACTATCTGGTATCCATAACACAAATCTCGTAGCTTACCATGGAACTGTGCTGTGTGTTAATGTCCCAACATATTTATTATTATTTATTATAATTAGTTCTTTTTACACGACGACACTAGGTATATAAATAAGCTTGATAATAATAATGTGATCCTAACTGATTTCTAAGCTCGAACCCAGGGCCTCCGATTTGCAACCGTACGTGCTACCCACTAGTTTACCACGACAGTTATCTGGTGTAATCTATACCTACAAATAATAAAATTGTGACTGAGCCGAATCTCTAAATTAAAATTGTATTTTGGAAAATCTTATTGAAATTATTATTATAATATTCAGAGGCCCAATCTATAGTCTTTAGGATTTTTGTCTGTCTGTCTGTCTGTCTGTCTGTCTGTATGTCTGTCTGTCTGTCTGTCTGTCTGTCTGTGACCGCATTACGGAAAAATCACTAGTGGGATCACTAGGGAATCACTAGAGGGACGAACCCGAGTGGAGCGAGGATGAGTCGCTAGTATTATATAAATAAGATTATTATGTATAAAGAGTAATTTTGTCAAGACTTATTTCATTATTTTTTAAGTACATTTGTTTACCTATTACAAGTTACGAGAAATAAAGCACTTTGAACTTTGACAATAATAGTATGAAAGACACAAAGACAAAACAATGATAATAATAGTACGAAAGACTCGTTGGTTCTCACAAATCGAGTTTTCCTTTTTATTCTCTTTTTATTTTAGTATAATTGCTTAGTATAAATTTACCCACATTATTGGTTTATTGCAGTAATGACTACCGATTCTCTTCAATTCTGGGTTGCAATGATACATACATATAATAACTTTTTCGATAAGCAAAATTGTGATTTAAGAACAGTTCAACGGCAAAGGGTGAACGCACGGCAGTTACCTACTTAACTTGCATTAGCGATACGTAAATGAGCGGTAAATTCACTCACGACGTGTTAAATTATTGTTCATCTAGAAAAGTACAATGTGTGATACGATGTGCGTCACACAAAAACTGGGTCATTCGTAATAATATTATCTGTTACCTTTTTCAGCGAATCTCACAATATCAGACGAAGAATGCGAACATCTCTTAGAATCCAACAACATATGCCTATTTGTCGATAATGTAAGTAAATACTCTCCAATTCCTCTTATAACTCCTGTGTCTTCAAAAATATGTATTTTTCATGTTATGTTTAAGTAATAAATGGAAAGCTCGAGGACTTTATATATAGTCAAGCAAGTAACATAAAGCTTCGTTTTAAAGTCATACGATAGATAGTCTTAGATAAGATCAAAGAATCAATTCAAAACATGTAGCTATTCATTAAGTACTAGTGACCCGTTTGAAGGTAATATTTCTGATTGAAAACATAATTTGTTAGTTAATTCTAAAATAAAGTATAACCCATGTTACTTTTGGATAACGTAGCTATCCAATGGTGAAATGATTATAAAATCGGTTAAGTTCTTTTATAGTGGATCGATTACAAACAAATAAATGTCGATCCAGCCGGCAGCCAGCGATTTTACTGGATGCACATTGCTAAGTACAAATTTTCGAAAGACATGTGAAGTCCGCCAATCCACACTTGGCCAGCGTGGTGGACTATTGCCTGATTCCCCTCGTATTGAAGGAAGGCCCGTGCCCTGATGTGGGACGTTAAAAAGAGTTGAATACACCTTGCTAATATTTGGTTTCATTTGAACCAAATTTATGCAATGACAAATTACATAAACTAAAATAGGCAATCATGGACTGCCGACTTATAACTTTGGAATAACTGTATTTTTAAATTAATTATAGTATGAATAAGTAAAATTTCATAATTTGTAAATTGAAATTATTATTAGTATGGTTTTCAAATCTATTGGCATTCCGAGCAATAATTATATACCTACATTTTCATATAGTTTATTTATTAATCAAAACATAAAAGAAAAATAGGAAGAAAACTCTTTTTTCTCCCAAAAGAATATGTAGGTATGTCCAGGTATAACATATGTAGTACGCTCTATTCTTGGAAGGCTGTAACTTAAAAAAGGTAACGGTGCTTAAAACAGAGATTTAATAAATTGAGTAATTAGGGGAAAATATGAAAATTTGACTTTAAAATGTGCTTAATTTAGCGTCGCACAAGTACGGCACCAGTGTGTTCTTCAAGAGATTCCAGTATTTAAGAATTATTAAGAATCCTGCATAACCTAACCATCTGGTACGATGGTTGGGTATCTTTACCACACACCTACCCTGTACGAAGTGTGTGTGTTATGTGACAGCTGCGCGCGGAGACGGCGGAGGCGCGGCTGGCGCTGCGCGAGGCGGAGGCGCGGCGCGAGGAGCTGGTACGCGTGGAGGCGTCACTGGCCGCCGTGCGCGATCTGTTCCTGCAGCTCGCGCATCTCGTCGCCGCACAGGTTCTATTTATTTTTCTCTTGTAAAATCCTTCATTCAGCAAACTAGAGTCCATGCTAATGAAGATTTGGTATGGTGAGATGTACTCTTGTAAAGGCCGAGGTAGTCCTGACGAGTTATAATCCAAGCGGGTGGGGACAATCCGGCAAATAGAGGAACAACACATGGAAAGGAGGAGAAAGAGGGTAAGGGATTAAAAAGATTACTTCCTTGTAATCTTTAAAAGCGAGCAATCAAAATCATTTTTAATATTCCATAGAAAAGTCTCTTTATACCTGTATGTATGTACGTATGTATGTATTACATATAGTTTTCCTATGGGAAAACCGATCAAGCAATAAAGTACAATCGTTTATTTGTTATATTTGAAACAAATAACTATTAACTATTTTTTTCACGTTACAAAGTGAAATCTGCTTACCTGCTAGTTTGCGAATAAAACTTAAGTTGAAATATAGATTCTAGCAGAATGTTATACTGATATTAAATAAATTATTATTTGTTTTAAAGATTTTAAGAGCCTTTAATTTAATGCATAATGTATTTGTATGAATTTGATTGCTGAAATAATTATGTTTTTAAAACAGCAAGAACAAATCGACACCGTAGAATACTACGCGTTGCAAGCGAGCGAGCATGTAGAGACTGGTGGCCAGCATCTGCTCAAAGGCACTGTTAGTAGAAGAAAAGCTAAGAAGGTTATAATTATGAAATTATTTTTTCTATATAAGTTACACAATGATAATAATATTAAGTACTAAAAATCAGTGGAGGCAAGGGATCCATTACAGTCACTATAGAGCTGTGTACTTTAATACTTATTTGCATTCTGCAGTGTAGTATTTTATGTACTTGTTGTACTTACTCTTTGCTATATAATTTCACAAGTGAACACTAATTTACGTTAACTTATTATTAGAATAAAATATAATTCATTTGTTTGAACAAGATAGTATGTTAATCAATCAAGACGAATACAATGTGTGAATGACGTAGGATATTTTAAGATGACGTCCATAAATAAAATGGAGGAGGATTTGATTTTTTGATAAAAACAATAATAATAATTAGAGAATATTGGTATTAAAGAAAGCTAGTAATGAGCCGAAGCAACATTATAGTTAGTTTTTTGTTAGGTTATGGCCATAACCCACATATCAGTGCGGTTAACGTTCGGATAGATATTGTGTTTTATTTATAGTTACATAGGGATTGTGTCAGTAATTAATTATTATATAAACATTAACAATAATTACAATTTTGTCTACAGAAAAAGTTGGGTGTCATTATTTGCCTGACGGCAGGTATCCTCATAGTGCTGCTGGTGCTTGTCGGTACGTGATGCCTGTGTGCTGTTCACTGTGTAACTTAAATCTTTTCTGAGACTCTAGAAGAAATTATTTCAATTGTGAAGTTATTAAACAAAGGAATATAATATAATTATACCTAACTTATTGTACAACCTAGTCATAAACTAATAAATTATATAATTAACATACAATTGAGTATTTATTATAATTTTACGACCATTTATGAAATTTCGTTCAAGATAATCTACGATCAAAAATACTACTGGATATCGGGTCGGCGTAAGAAATCCGTCTCGGTAAATATAAGCTCACATGCAAAGTGATGAGCGTATATATAAATTCTATTGAAACTCTGCCAACGTAGTTATGGTTACACCTCGTCCATTCGCTCTAGTTTAAGATTTACATAGAATAAGAGAGACGCAAACTCAGCGTCTGGTCGGCCCACCCGGCATCCCCCCGCCGAGTATGTTATTCAGACAATAAATCGGCTACATGTCTCACTTAGTTTTATTTTTTTTCTTAATTTAATTTTAAATTAGTATAAATAGTTTTCGAAACGCTCCAAAACCAAAAGTGGCGCAGCTGGTGCGGATTTTCTTATAGACTCTTTATAGAGTCGTAGAAATACGTCGAACCAAATAAATATTCTTTTGTGTCGCGGGAAGCAAAGAAAACCGAATATGGGAGTAGCGGTCATGTGGTGAGTCAAACTTTTCGCCAATCCTTGTTCCGCTAATCCTCCTGTATTTTTCATGTTAATTATAAGTAATTGTTATTTTTGAGATCAAACCTTGCTCATTATAACTTTGTTAAGCTGATATCACCGTATGAAATTATTCTGTCTTATCTTTCTTAGAATAGGAACATAGAGTACTTATGAACATAGAGACTTCGTTTAATAAAATTAAAAATTGAATTGATTTAAAGAAATTACATAAATATATTAAATTGCTACATAATTAAATATATTATAATAAATTTAAATTTCAAGGAAATTAATAAATACTTGAATGATTTTTAAATATATTATTTTATAATTTTTAGAAATTATATTTTAACAAAAGTTCTTTTAATTTTTTAAATTTTATTTATTTTTAAATTGTTGTATAAAATTTTAATTTTATAATAATTTTTTAATTGTGTGATTTTTTTGTAAAAGTTTCTTATTATTTAAAGTTCATATTTAAAGCCAGTTGCATCCTCTAATCATTTCATTACGCTATCATCATGGCATCCACAACCGTTTCATCAATACCAAAAGAAATTATAGATTTAATTCCTCTGTACAGTGGTGATAAAAGACAACTAAATCTTTATTTAAGAGATGATGCAACTGCGCTCTTATCTGAGCGAGAGGACATTGTTACATGGTCCACATTAAAAGCCTTGTTAATCCAACATTTTGGAGACCCTCATAGTGAAGAGTACATTAATATCGAGTTAGAAACTTTAATTTAATCCAGGTGAAACTTTTCTTATTTTTTTGTGATAACATACTAGGTGTTCGATCGCTATTAATGTCGAAGGTGATTTCCATTCATAATTCAGATTTAAAACTTGCGAAGTCAGTTATCTATAATAATACAGCTCTAAGCGTGTTTTTATATAACCTCCCGGAAAATATAGTGTAATAAAAATAATAACTGGTAATCTGGATCATGATGACACGGTTAAGTACGACGGACTTATCCTTAATTTAAATCATAACCAAATTATTATTTCAAAGAAACTGCCGATAGTCTCTAAAATGTTTGATAGTTTCATTAATGTACCTAACTGAAACAATTAACCAGAACTCTGTTCACTTTCATAATCGTTTATATCATTTAAATTTAATTTTTAAGTCTGTAAGCTTGGTATATCCACCAACAGAAACAAAAAAAATTTTTTTTCATTTTTACCACATTTTTTTCATATTTTGCAGCACAGTGCTATAATAAGTGTGGTTTAGTGAAACTAAATAGTGATGAGAGCGAGGACTCATTTAAAATAAGTACAGTGAACTCTATTGGTAAAATAAATAGAGACTGGTTAATAAAAATTAAAATTAAAGATAAATATATAAATTTTAAAATAGATACAGGGTCGCATGTAGATATATTAAGCTTAGAGTTGTGCAAAAAATTAGGATTAAGTATGTATAGGGATAACAATGTCAAACTTACTAATTTTGATGGTTCACAGATAAAGGTTATAGGAGTCTGTAATGAGTATATTACTTTAGGGGAAAATAGTTGTAAAACAATATTATACATTGTTGATTGTTGTAAAGATGGCATATTAAGTTATAATTCAGCTCTTAAGTTAGGAATAATTAATAATATTAATAAAATTGAGGTCAAAGGTTTTCAAAGTATTAATAGTAGTTCTCAAATGTTAATAGAAAAGTATAGTGATTTGTTTACAGGCTTAGGAATGGTAAAAAACTATGAGTATAATATCAAATTAAGAGAAAATGCAATACCAGTAGCTGAGAGGCCTAGGAAAATTCCATTTCAATTACAAAGTAAAGTCAAGCAGGAACTACATAGGATGGAAGAAGCAGGTGTTATTAGGAAGGTGATAGAGCCTACAGAATGGGTAAGTTCCATGGTGATAACTAAAAAACCTCTTAATAAAATAAGGATTTGCTTAGACCCTCAAAATCTGAATAAATTTATTGTTAGAGAAATATATAAAATGAGCACATTTGAGGAATTAGTAGCTAAAATGCCTCGAGCTAAATATTTTAGTGTGTTAGATGCTTCTAAAGGATTTTATATGATAAAACTGTCTGAGAGTAGTCAACTATATACTACATTTAATGCAGGGGTATTGTTGGTAGGTATTGTTACAAAAGATTACCTTTTGGTTTAAATTCAGCTCCGGAAGTTTTTAGAAAATGTTTTTCAGATGTATTTAAAAATATAGTAGGTGTTGAACAGTACATTGATGAGTTAATAGTATGGGGTGAGACATTAGAGGAGCACAACCAAAGGCTACAGAATGTTTTAGAAAGGGCAAAACAGGCTGGAGTTAAATTTAATAAAGAAAAATGTAAGTTTGGGGTCACAGAAGTAAAATATGTAGGGCATATTTTAAGTGCAGACGGGATAAAACCAGATCCAGAGAAAATTAGAGCAATAATAGAGATGAGTGAGCCAAACAGTAAAAAAGAATTACAAACCATATTAGGTATAGTTACTTATGTGTCTAAATTTATACCTAACCTATCAGATGTTACATATTCTCTTAGGGAGCTATTAAAAATAAATTCAGCTTTTGTGTGGGGTGACAAACAGAGAAAGGATTTTATTAAATTAAAAGAGTTATTGTCATCTACACCCGTCCTCAAATATTTTGATATTAATAAACCTATAACATTATCTGTAGATAGCAGTAGTACAGGGTTGGGTGCAGTGTTATTACAGGATAATGCACCAATTGCATATGCATCTAAAGCACTCACAGATTGTCAAAAATCTTGGGCTCAAATTGAAAAAGAGTTATTGGCCATTGTTTATGCTTGTGAAAAATTTCACCAATATATTTATGGTAAGCATATAGTTGTTGAGACCGATCATAAACCTTTAGAGCATATTGTTAAAAAACCTATGAATGAAACACCATTAAGATTACAGCGGTTGCGATTGAGATTGCAAGGTTATGATTTAGAGATTAAGTATAGACCAGGTAGAGAGCTTTTAGTAGCAGATGCTTTATCTAGGGCTTATGTTAAGGATACTATATGTAACAAAGAGTTAGATGAAACAGTAGAGTTGCATGTGTGTATGATAAAAGAAAATCTGAATATTAGCAAAGAAAAATTACAGTTATTTAAAAAAGAAACAGCTAAAGATAGTGATTTAAATCAATTAATTATATATTTACAAAATTCATGGCCTTCTGTCAAAGAGATTCCATACAACTTAAGATATTATCATTCTATAAAAGATGAATTATTTGTGTCAGATGGTTTAATTTTCAAAAATACAGCTGTTGTAGTTCCTAAAGCATTGCGAAAAGAAATGTTAAATAAAATACATTATAATCATCAGGGAATTGAGAAATGAGATAAGAACAGAATAAGAGGATTGTTATTTTGGCCTTTTATGTATAAAGAATTAGAAGATTTAATACAGAATTGTCATATGTGTCTTAAATATAGGAAAAATTATTCGTATGAACCTCTGGTGTTAAGGAAATTGTCAAATAAACCTTGGGCAGTTGTAGGTGCTAATATGTTCTATTTTAATAATAAAATTTTTTTGTTAGTTGTCGATTATTTGACTAAGTATATTGAGATAGCAGAGCTGAAAGATCAATCGGCTGAAAGTCATATTACAGCATTGAAAACAGTGTTCAGTAGATGGGGAATTCCTGAAAATTTGTATACAGATGACGGAGCTCAATATAAAAGCCAATTTTTTAGAGATTTCTGTAAATTGTGGAATATTAAACATTGTCATTCTACACCTTATTATCCAAGATCAAATGGGATGGTAGAAAGGCATATTCAAACAATCAAAAGAATGTTTAAAAAATGTTTAAATGAACAAAAGGATATATATTTAGCTCTGTTAGAATACAGGAATACACCTATTGATTGTGAATTAATGTCACCGAATGAACTTATGTTAGGGAGACAAGTAGCATCATACTTACCAACTAAAAATAAATATAATAAAATAAATTATAATAAGGTTAAGCAAAGTGTAGAGGAAAAGAGAAATATGTATAAATATTACCATGACAAGAAAAATAAAGGTAAAATTGATAGTTTTTATAAGGGTCAAAATGTTTATGTACATGATAAAAATACTAAAGATAAGATAGATGATAAAATAATTAAGGAAGAGAAAAATAGAGGTTACAGAATTTTGTTAAATAACGGGGAGGAAGTATTAAGGAATAGGTATCATATATTTAAAGGAACACCATATAAAAAGTTTTATGTAGAAAATGACAATGATGATTGGCTTAAGGATGTACCGAATTTCAAAGTTATTAAAGAGAGTATAAATGTTAATAATAAAAACTTAAATAT